ACATGAGAAGTGGAGCCAGCCCGTCTGCGGAGGTGTCACTTTGGTCACCCACAGCTATGTAAGCCCACACATTATCAAACTGACCGAGAACTGAACATTCCTCAGGTCAACCATATGTTCATATCATGGGACATGAGCTGGCAGTTTCAGTTTAAAATCTCCCAATGACCACTCCCAAAAGGTGTAGTCAGAGCCCCCTCCCCTTTGAGAGGGACTTTCAAGAGAGTTAGAGCTTGTCACACTCACACACAGAGATCTCCGAGGTAACATCGTAACAAAGGAGATCAAGGAATCACCCGCTCTCAACTTGGACTGCAAACCCTGGCATATGGGCAAGTAACTCAACCCTGTAATCTTCTTCCTAATTATCTCTTTGCTGTGTCTTTATATACATATATATATATTTTTGTGACATATCTTTGTAAATATTTATTGCATCTGTCTGACGCTTTTAGTAATAAATCTTTCTTTCTGGAAGTGTTAAACTGTTTCTAAGCGCTTACTTGCAATTCACGAATCCCTGCCTTTGAAGAGACGCTACTGTTTGTTATATCTCTGTATAGCGGGTCCGCGGGCCGTGCTATATAGATCAATATTTCAATAATTATAGTGTATATTTGATAACAGGAGTTTCCCAGTCTCCGACAAAAGTGGTGGTGGCAGTAGAGGGTTAGTTGCGTAATTAACCCGACCCAGTAACAAAGCGCATTCAGGCTGCAGGCACCGATTGTAAACCATTAGCTGGGCAATCGCTGTGCTGGGTGCAGCTGGGTGGGGCCTTGTTACGTGCGTCACACCGCGGTTTTAGATCGGCTGGTCCTTCGGTCACGAGTTTGGTGAGAAGGTCTGGGGTCTGACGCCGTGGGCGTGACGTATTACTGTTAGTCGCGGCTGTGCGATTGTCGCCTGTTGGTGGCGGCGACCGTGGGTCGTGACAAATACGCCTGCAACACACACTGTCACCACAGAAAGGTATATTCAGAGGATTATTATCAATAGCACAAGAGACAGGGATTCTTGAGTTTGCATTAAAAGCCTTAGAGATAGTTTTAACACTTTTCAGGGTTTATTAATGAAAAAGTCAAATGGTGCAAAAAATAAAATATTTACAGAAAAGGATGTTACAAAGACATAAAGAGAACAATAACACAACAGAGAAATAAAAGGTGAAAATGGAGAATACTTGCAAAGTCCTGGTTTTAGCAGAGTCCAATTGTCCAAGCAAAAATGTTGCCATGGCTCTCAAGTCCATTAGGATGTTCCTTGGTTGATGTTAAAATGAGAACTTGCTTACTAGGTCCTGTCAGTCCCTTTTCTGTGATATCAAGGGGGTGTGGCAGAGACCCTCTGACCAATAATCTGCTTTAAGAGATGGGTGCTGCGAGGCCACCACATTTATGCCCAATTCCCAAATACAGTTTTACACGAATATTATTCACTTCCAATACGTGCAAATGGTATTCTAGAAACTGACAGAATATTATTCAGAATTACATTTCGTATTCAGGGATACCAAACACTGCATACCTTTGTCACCCATGAGGCAGGAAACTGCTTTCTCTCTTTTATGTATTATGTACTATGGTAGGCATGTATGACCCGAATTTATTTGTATGATATTCCCCATTCAAATATATAGCTAATGTTAATGTGTCCTGTTCCTGTTGAATTCTATGTGGAATAGACGTTTTATGGCACACTCTCTGCATTCCTAGAGCTTTTAATGGCCTTAAATGTCATGTATGATGGCTTGACTGAGTTATTATTGTTTTATGATAGGGCAGAGGAAAGAGTTTTTCATGGTTTGTGGAAACAGACATCCTGCCAAGACTACTTAGTTGTTCACAGCTGGCACTCAGGTCTGGAACCGGCATCTATTGTGTTTTAGTTAAGATAAGCGGCTCTCTTGAAGTTCGTTAAAAGTTACAGCTACAAATTCCACAGTTTGCAAGAGGGAGGGAGGGAGATTACTGCTCATGAAAACAAAATGGCTGAGACCTTAACAAGATGGCTGTCACGTACAGCAGCCATGTCCCTATTGTGCACAATCGTTACAGTACCATCTTTCCATTTTTCATCCATCTATTGATGGATAACAAATGGACGGCAATGTATTTCTGTGGACCAACGTATGTGAACAGCTGATCATCCGTTTACATCTGTGTTCATTCCAGTCTGTTTTTTTAAACAGACAAGGGTACCTCCAGAGCCACTGAAAAGGAACGGAAGTAACTGAATGCCATCCGTTTACATCCATTCCGTTTATGTCCATTTTTAGACAAGAAACATTTTTTGTTTATACTTTTGTCTTTTCTGATTGGTCTCTACAACATTTAAGAAAAAACATATGCAAAAATGGATGTAGACTAATGTAAACTAATTTAACCACTGCAGCTCAAGAAGATTTTACCCCCTTCATTACAAGGCCATTTTTTGCTATTGAGCACTGTGCTACTTTAACTGGCAATTGATACAACGCTGTACCGAAATTAAATTTATCATTTTTTTCACACAAATAGAGCTTTTCTTTGGTGGTAATTGAGCACCACTGCATTTTTTATTTTTTTGGGATATAAACGAAAAAAGACAAACATTAAAAGAAATATTTTTTTTTACTTTCTACTTTAAAACAACCAATAAAATTTTTTAAAAAATCTAATTTCTTAAATTTCGGCCAAAATGTTTTCTATGTCTTTGATAAAAACAAATAAAAAACCCAGTAAGTGTAAATTGATTGGTTTACGTGAAAGTTAAAACCAGGCTGCTCTGTGCAAAACCACTGCACACAACAGTTAAGTATAGCATGTTTGTTATTTTCCAAAAAAAAAAAAAAGAACCTTTAGAATTGCTTTAACCACTTGCCCTCGGGGGTAAAACATCAGCCTTGGGTGAAGTAATGCACAGCAGGGCTGCACTATTGGCACTCCCTTTTGTTTTTGACCCTCTATTGAGGGTTTCAGATTCGCAGCAGCAGTCTCTCAGTTCATCTATCATCCAGAGGAGGGAACCCATTCATCTAGGATGTCCATTCGCTCTTAAGGAGATCTCTGAGCCCTGCTGTGCATTACTTCCCCCAAGGCTGATGTTCTACCCCTGAGGGATGCTGCCAGCCATTCAGGTTGATGGTCACTTATATGCGCATTCTTAATGCGCGGTCGGTGAGTGCGCGTTTCTGCTGTATGATTTTTTGGCATCAGTGTATCTCAAAAGAGGAAGCTTTTCATGATTCTGCACAAGATTTTATGAACATCTATTGAACTACATATTATTTATTTTTCAGCGCTGCACTATATTTTACAGTATGTAAATTAATTAGTTTACATGAAAGTTATAGTGTTTACAAATGGCGGTATATATACTGGATTTTTTTTTTTTCAAACTAGTAATGGTGGCAATCAGTGACTTATAGGACTGCGGCGGGCAGTCTGACACTGGGGTGAACTGACTGTCACTAACATCAACAATACAATGATCAGTGCTAATAAAAAGCACTGTACTAATGACACTGGGCAGGAATGGGTTAACATCTGGGGCGATCAAAGGGTTAACTGTGTGCTTTACACTGTAAGCACACTGCTTTGTATGGCTCTGCTATGCAGAGCCATACAAAACAGTGTGGAGGAGCTGACAGGGAAGACCTGTATTGTTTACACACGGGTCTCCCCCCTGTCCGTGATACATGGTGATAACGGGTGCTGGCGGGGAATCACAAGCCGGGACCCAATGATTGACAGTCGAGGCCGCCAATGGCGGCGCAGGTAGGGCGCATGCCCCCTACCTGGAGATGCAAAATCACACATATATATGTGTGTGTGTGTGTGATTTTGGGCACCCCTGCCACCCTGTAGCAGTATGTCTGCTATAGGGCGGTGCGAAAGCAGTTAAACTTAGAAGTGCTTTTTTTTAACCACTACTATTCCTTTATATTGGCTTTAGAAATTTACAAATGCAGCAATTTAGAAATTGGATGACAGGTTTAGCTCCGTAAAACATTTTTTGATAGTGAATTTTATATTCGACTATATAGATCAGACCAAAATAAGGAGGAAGGAGAGACAGAGGGAATTTGTTCCAAATGAGGGGCAGTCCCTTGAAATCAGGGACATTCAGGAGCTATGGCGGTGGGGGACACAGCCCCACTGCATTGTAAAAAACAAAAAAAAAATGTAACTGGAGTTCTGCTTTCAGGTAGAGGTGAGTTCCGTCCGAGCGCCCTTTGCTAGCGATCTGTAGCACTTGCTGGGCGTGGGACACTTCTGTGAACTATTTTGACTGCGCACAGTCTATTGGGTTCCATTCTCTTCTAGCTGTACACAACACAAAGTAGCTACAATCCAACAATATAGAAATAAAGAGTCACAAAAAGCTGCATAATACTAATATTTAACATAAATGTTTCCAATACAACATAAACCCTGCCGCCCGGCCATCTGTGTGACGACTTTCCTGGATAGGGCTCCGCCACCCGGACAGAACAAAGGGAGAAGCCTCAGCCCCTGACGTCATCCGAAGCACGCGGTGATAAAACAAACCGGCGCACCAACATCGTTCTCGCGAGATTTTCTCCGAGATCTCTCTGGACGTCAACACGAAGCAGCTCGGCCTCTCATTCATCCAAAGCCCCGCCCAGTGTTGCGTGCGCGACCCCTTACACACGGACATAGTTTGCGATGTAAAAATGAGCGGAGGCGATGTATTCTGCGCCATAAAATAAAATTACGCAGGCATTTGCTAAGGAACGTTAGTCAGAGATGCTTCTCAACTAACTGAGCATTTCACAGCCTCCCTGAGGGTGATAACAAGATCTCGCGATATCTGCTTGGTTCGCTGGACGAGAGCGCGCCTAGGAAAAAAAAAAAAAAAGCCGGCACGCTGAGGGCGCGCTCCTCTGTAGTGTAACTCCCGCCAGCCGCGTTTGTCGTTAAGCGCCGCCCACCAACTGTGTGCCGGCTCTGTCCCTCCATTGTAACCGTGTGGTGAGCTCTGTGCCGGGGGAAGACATGTCTGAGGAGAGCACGGAGAAGCAAGAGGCGGTGAAGGAAGAAGAGATGGCGGGGGAAGAAGGCGGGAAGGAGCCGGAGTTGGCCCGTGAAGAAGCCGGTGTGAAGGAGGAAGTGGCTGAGGTGAGAGGGATGATAGTGAGAGGATGTAAGCGGCTTTCACTGCGGAGTGCAGGCCATGCAGTACCTCCGTGTGCCCGGGTGTCACTTTGTTCTGGGACATGAGACGGCTTTCCAGTATGAGCGCATAGAATGGAGGCAGAGCTCCTTCACCTGTGAATGGAGGCCTCTTCTCCCATCTCCGTACACTGCGCACCCTGCTGCCTCTATTCTACAGACTCACCTGTGTGACTACAAGTCCAGGAGAGGGCTACCCAACACGGGGCTGTCTGAGGAAGGGGAGCTTCTCAGCTGCTTCACTTAAAGGGGAACTCCACTTCCTCGGGGGGAAAAATGTGTATACAAATACTACACACACCCTATGGTAATATAAAGTGGATCTAAAGCCTGATATTTAACTGCTTGCTCTCTGGTCAAATTTTGACTTTTTTTTCACACACATTAAAACTATTTATTTTTTATGCTAGAAAAGCTTTACACCCCCCTCTCCCCAACGCTCTTTCTGAAAGCTGAGGTACCGGAATATAAACTATACACATCTTTTTGGTAAAATATCCACTTCAGTGCTGCAAGGTTTGACCCCCCCCCCCTTACACGACCAGGCCATTTTTTGCTATTTGGGGCTACTTTAACTGGTAATTGCGCGGTCACACTGTACCCAAATTAAATTTATATCACTTTTTTTTTTTCACACAAATAGATCTTTCTTTTTGGTGGTATTTGATCACCACTGGGTTTATTTTTTGCACTATAAATGGAACTATTTTGAAAAACAATATTTTTTAACCAGTTGCCGACCGCAGATAGCCGAATGACGGCTACACTGCGGCCGGCCAGTTCTGGGAGGGCATCGTATGGGGCGTGCACCCGGCGACACAGCTGATCACGTGATGTGGTAAAAGGCCAATCACAGCGGCTTTTTACCATGTGATCAGCTGTGTCCAATGACGCGCCGATCACAGGGAAATGCAATTGCTGGTTCTCGGCTGCACTTGCCTCACGCTGTCAGAACGTGGGGAAAGTACTGCCGAAAACCGGCAGTTGTCAGAGCAGGGATCGGCACTGATGATCAGTGCCCAGCAGTGCTACCCACCTGTGCCCAGCAGTTGTGCCCCTAGTCAGTGCCCAGCAGTGCTGACTATCAGTACCTATCATCAGTGCCACCTCATTAGTGCTGCTTATCAGTGCCCATCAGTGCAGGCTCATCAACGCACATCAATGGAAGGAGAAAAATTACCGGTTCGCAAAATTTTATAATAGAAACAAACTTTTTTTTTTTCAAATGTTTTGCTCTTTTTTTTTGTTTATAGTGCAAAAAGTAAAACACCCAGCGGCAAGTAAATAAAAGAAAGCTCTATTTATGAAAAAAATATGATAAAAATTTTATATGGGTACAATGTTGCATGACCACGCAATTGTCATTCAAAGTGCGACAGTGCTGAAAGCTGAAAATTGGCCTGGTAAGGAAGGGGGTATAAGTGGTTAAACAAAACAAAAAGTGAGCGTTAAGAGAAAAAAAAACTGGGAGTAGCTAAAACAAATGGTGAATGTACTCCATATCATAATAAAGCTCCATGTACACGAGCCTACCCTGACCGCTGTTTTTCATTCATTTCAATAGGGCAGTGCGTTTTTTTAATTTTTATACGCACAAAAATGCCACTGGAAATCGTAATCGTATTGGGAACCTTGGTTCCCGTGCAGGCTGTGATTTCCCAAGTAGTGCAGGGACGTCTTCCCTGCGTGTCCTGGGAATCCATTCAAATGATTGGGCTCTCGTTCCCGCGCTAATCGCTGCCCACACTACTGTACAGATGTGAAATAGTGTAAAGTTCATTCAAAAATTGTGAATGTAATTCCAAACAACGTGATATATTATAGAATCCTGATCAGAGAGTAATGGAACATTCTTAAGAATTCTTCCACCAATCAAAATGAAGAGCATAAGTTCACCAGACAACACTGTGTATACATCTGAACCTTACCAGATGACAAGACCACCAGTAATGGAATGGTCAAAAGTGCTTGTTGTAAAATGGCCCACACTGGAATGTCATCTGGATGTCACCGAACCTCCAAACTTGCTCCTATATCTCACACTCCATAAGAGGTTCATGCAGGCAGAGAAGGAAGAGAAACACTCTTAGGCTACGTTCACACTAGCGTTGTGTGCAGGTGGCAGAAAGGCGTTTGGGAAGCGTTTTTACTGCTTCCCAAACGCCTCGGACAATTCTGCACATTGCAGCACATGGTGATGTTCTAAGGGAGCGTTAGCGTCGCGGCAAAACGGACGCCTCTGGTTTAGTCAGGAGGCGTTGAAGCCTCCTATTCTAGTCTATGGTGCTGCTCCGCAAACGCCGGTAGACTAGAATAGGAGGCTTCAACGCCTCCTGACTAAACCAGAGGCGTCCGTTTTGCCGCACTAACACCATTCAACCTTCATTATAGGCGTTTGTAGGGCGTTTGTAACGCTCAGCAAACGCCTAGCAACCACTGCTGAACTGCGCATGCGGCGTTTGCGGAGCGTTAAACGCTCCGCAAACACCGGACCAACGATTTGCAAACGCTATAGGGGCGTTTGGCAAGAGTTGGTAAAACAGTCAAGTGTGAACGAGCCCTTAGTGTAGAAAAAAAACAGCTACTCATTTATTAGATGGTTAAAAACCGTCACATGAAATAAAAACCACATAGGTTATATCACATAGATTAACCACTTGCCCTCCTGAGGATTTACTCCCCTTCCTGACCAGGCCATTTTTTGCGTTATGGCGCTGCGTTATTTTAACTGACAATTGCGCGGTCATGCAACGCTGCACTCAAATTACATTTACATATTTTCCCCCCCGAATTTAGCTTTCTTTCAGTGGTATTTGATCACTTGTGCATTTTTATTTTTTGTGCTATAAAAAAAAGACAATTTTGAAAAAAATATATATTTTTGACTTTTTACTATTAAAGATGTCCAGTAAAAAAATGTAAATCAAATTTCGTCATAACTTTAGGCCAAAATGTATTTTGCTACATGTCCAAATACGTGTAAATTAATTGGTTTACGTGAAAGTTATCGCGTTTACAAATGGGGGTATATATACTGGGATTTTTTTTTTTTTAATTTTTAATAGTAATGGCGGCGATCAGCGACTTATAGCAGGACTGCGGTAGACATTCTGACACTGGGGTGAACTGACTTGATGTCACTGACATCCCCAGTGGCACCATTACAGTGATCAGTGCTAAAAAAGCACTGAGACTACTAATGGCACTGGGCAGGAAGGGATTAATATGAGGGCCAATCAAAGGGTTAACTCTGTGCTGGGTGTGTTTTACTATGGGGCAGTGTCTGTGTGCTTCACTGTAAGCACACTGCTTCGGATGGCTGTGCTTTGCACAGCCATCCAAAGCAGTATGTCCGAGCTGACAGGGAGAACTGTTAGTAAACAAAACAGTTCTCCCCATCGGAGATCCTTGGTAGTCACCAGGCGCCGGCGAGTAATTACCGGCCAGGACCCAGTGATTGACAGCCGTGGCTGCGAATGCCAGCGCGTGTAGGGCACGCACGCCCCCTACCCGGAAATGCATAATCACGTATATATACGTGATGTTCCACACCCATGCCTCCATGTAGCAGTATTTCTGCTATAGGGCGGTTGGGAAGTGGTTAAACGTTCAAGCATTGGTCCCTCACACGTCTGAGTTTCAATGTGTGTAATGGTTTATCCTCTGTTAGCCTTGCCCTGACCAGATACTGTAGCTGCTGACTTTTTACTAAGCAAGCACTTACCAGTCCAGGGTTTCAGTGTTGTCCTCACCTGGGCCTGTTCTTTGCTATTCTTCATGTCCTCAATTTGCCATCTTAGAAGAGGGAAGCCGGCTGTGACTTCCTCGTGCTTCACAGGTAGCTTCCAAATGCAGGAGCACGAGTAGTGCTGTGCTTTCTCAATGAGCCCACAAGGTAGGGAGGTGGGGGCAAAGTTCCGCTCAGATCACCTATGCCCATCTTAATAGGTACCCACTCCAAGGGGTAAAAAAAATAAACCAAAAGTAGTGGAGGAGGAGCAGAACTTAATTTCTTAGGTGAAGTTCCACTTTAAATGGTCCAGCTTGGTCCAAATGAGCTATACCTTTATGGCTAGATGTGTTCGCTGTGTGCGTTGTATAAACTGTATACACTTGCCACTTTATTAGTTACACCTGTTCATTTGCTTGGTAACACAAATTGTTAATCGGCCAATCACATGGCAGCAACTCGATGCATTTAGGTATCTAGACGTGGTGAAGACGACTTGCTGACGTTCAAACGAAGCATCAGAATAGGGAAGAAAGGTGATTTAAGTAACTTGAATGTGACATGGTTGTTGGTGCTTGACAGCTGGTTTGAGTATTAAAAAAAAAAACAAAAAGAAAAACCCTGCTGATCTACTGGGATTTTCACACACAATTATCTCTAGGGTTTACAGAGAATGGTCTGGAAAAAAAGAAAATATCCAGTGAGCTGCAGTTGTTTGGACGAAAATGCCTTGTTGATGTCAGAAGAGAATGGACAGACTGGTTGCTGCAACATTCAGATGGTAGGGTCAGAGTTTTGCATAAACATGAAAGCATGGAGTCATCCTGCCTTGTATCAGCAGTTCAGGCTGGTGGTGGTGTCAAGTGTGGGGATATTGGCACTAGCAAGGTGTACCTAATAAAGTGGGTGGCGAGTGTATAGTCCCAACTACGTACAGTATACAGCAGTGTGTTCTGGCAGCAGGACAGTAACATCCTATTGCTCCAAGAGCAAAATTGGTTTGGAGGAAGCTTTGTATTCTAGGAATGAATGCAATTTTTCCTCTGCACGACTGAGGCTGGTGAATGAAGTCTCGATCTCTGACTCCGCATAAAATCACTGCCATATTACTGAACTCTAGACTTCCGCGTTGAGGATATTTGCCATACGTGCAGTTAAATGTTGATGCACTACAGCAGCCTTTTTCAACCAGGGTGCCTTGAGGTTTCTTCAAGGTGCCTTTGCAAAATGCACATAAATTTCCCAAAAAGTGTATACAAGCCAGTGGATGGATCAAGCCTGTCTTTTATTACACAAAGGCACAGGTTTATTATTGTTCACCAATAAGATCTTGTAGCCATCAGCGTCCTAGCAACCAATGACACTAACCGTTAAGGAGAATGTCAGTTACCTGCACTGCATGCTTGTTCGACCCTCGTCTACCCCTTTCCATCAGCGCTGGTTTCACATTAGCTGAGTGAGGAAGAAAAACAGAAGAGCAACATTAGAATACTAGTCAATACTAGTGTGCAAAAGTGTATTTGCTTTGAAACAATAAATCGCCTCTAACATTGGCTGTCCTATGTGTGTATGTTGCTAGATTATGTAAAACTATTAGAATAGTTTTTTACATCTTAGAATGGGGTGCCATGAGATTGTCCTTAATTTTATAGGGTGCCTCGACTGAAAAAAGGTCGAGAAACACTGCACTAGAGCATCAGCATTTAAGAGTATGGCTGTGTACAGCCATTCACTTTTATGGCAGGTTGCAGCTCCCCAGGCATGGGAAAGTACTAGAGATTTTGTTTGTGGACTTTGCATCTATGTGCATGAGGCCATTAGCCAAAGCATTAGCATGACAGACGGAGAGCTCAGCAATGGCAACCTCCATATCTTTTGGCAGTTCCTTTTACTTCTTTTAAGCTGTTACCTAATGTGCACCACACGAGAAGCTAGTCTGCTTAGAGAAGATAGCAAATTGATGAATAATTTTATGACTTTGTAGTCTTACTTTCTGTACATGGGTTATGTATCTGGTGCTTTGTTTAAATGAACTTAAAATCTCATTTGCTGCTGTTTTTAACCCTTTTACTATCACCAGCATAACAATTATGGGGAAACAGCTTGTTTTAAATTTTGACAGCTGGTTTTTTCTTTAATAGAATTTATCTAGAAAGCTGGAAAGCCACTCAATCACTTAGATCAAGGTTTCTCAGCCTTTTTACCTTTGAGGAACCCAGAGCAAAAAATTTAAAATCTCGGGGAGCCGCTGAAATATTGTTCAAATCTACAGATTCTACATAGCATCGGGGTGATCAGCGAGCTGTTGATATAACAGACATTTTTAGAAATAGCATTAAATAAAAAATCAATAGTAGAACATATCTATTTAATGCGAAACATGCTTGTTTTTTTTTTCTGCAGATGCACAGTTCTGGGTCCTATTTTAGATAAGCAGAGTATAGGGGACAGTAGGGCACATTATGGGGTTCACAGATGGGCACAGTACATTGGAGCAGTATACACTACAGTAGTGGTTTCCTTTATTTCCAGAACAACACAGACAAGTGGCTGTGGTGAGTCCTCTTGTGGTGTGCTGTTCCCCACTAGCCTTTCCTTTCATGTCCATCCCATGAGGTGTCATATACAAGCACCTGGGATGGACGGAAGGGGAGAAGGGGCTATAGGGGAACAGCGCACCACAAATATCACAGCCGCTTTACTGCAGTGCTCTTGCATGTGTCAGTAGTGGGGATGTGATCTACCTGTCAGCTGCCTGCAATTGACGGGTAGATCATGATGCACCCCCTGGGGACCTCTCGCAGAACCCTTGGTCAAAATTCCTGTTATGTTTCAAAAGCTGCTTTATGCATTGACATGCCTTCCTAAACCCAGTCTGTCCAGACAGTGTTGTTGCTTGCTGACTTGGCACCATCCACAGGCTGCTTAACTCTTCAAAAATACACAAGTTGAATCTAAAGCAATTTTACTTCAGATAATTGCAGTACAGGGGATGTTTTCCAGCCTTTAGAAGTATTAGATGATGATGTCTTTCCTAAGCCCTGTGTCTGCGAATAACAAGCACAGAGGAAAATAAGTAGTGGGCAGAGCTTAGTTGGGACTGAATGAAGTAGTGCTAAACAGAAAGGGAGGACAGAAGAAGATACTGAAAATCACATTAATAAACAAGCTGTGGCCAAAAACCACCAGGTGTCATCATACTACAGAAAAAAATAGCCTCAAAGTGCAATACAAGACATAAAAAAAATAAATGTTCATGAATTTCACCTGTGATGAATGAACCTGGATATGTTCAGGTCAAAGCATTAAACCAGTATGGCCTGTATACAATCATCAAGGGTCCCCTCATGCTGACACGGTTGCCTGCAGACTCTTCTTACCTGAGAGAAACACGTTGGATAGCCAGAAGGAAGGTTTAACATCAAGCAGGCAGTGATGTTGACACCTAATAAAGACCTTGCCTCCTGTAAACAGAACTGATGAGACTCGGGACTGGAACTTCACATGGTTGTAGATTTTGATGAGTTAAACAGATGTTTAGTAAATGTTTTTTACTGCCATACAGCAGTTTCTGGGATTTTGGATTTTTGCACAAGGGAGGTTTTTTCAGGTAAAACACATCTGAAATTAATAACCTTATGAGAATATATGTGCTTATGTAGAAATTGTGCGGTCTCGTGACAGATATCCACTGATGTCACTTTTGTGGCATCCATGTCTGTTCAAGCATGTTGAAATTTTTTTCCTAAAATAAAAAACAAGTTATACTTACCTGCTCTGTGCAATGGTATTGCACATAGTGTCCCTAAATCTCCTCCTTTTGAGGTCCCCTGTCGACTTTAGACTCCTTTTTTGAGTGTACAAACATAGGAAACCGCTTCCTATGATTGATCATGTGGGCTCGCTCCTGAGCTTGGCTGAGCTGTGTGCCCAGCTTGGCCCTGCTCCCTCCTCAATGGATTTGATTGACAGTGGCAGGAGCCAATGCCTCTCGCTGCCAATACGGGGGGACATTTCTAATGGCCCCCCCCGCATCCATTGCCTGTGCGTGCTCCCTCAGTGTGTGCACTGTCGCGATCTGTGCCCGCTGTGTCCACCAGACACGGGCCACAGATCGCTGTGTGAGGTCCCAATTCATGTGATCACCTATTGGCCAATCAGTGATCACATGAACAGTAGTAAACAAGATGTCACTTCCTGACATCATTGTTTACTACTTGTGAAATCTGTGAATGATCACAGAGGTCACATGGTACAAGGCTATTCACAGCAGCTTTGTACCATGTGACAAGCTGTGACCAATCACAGCTCTCACAGTATTTCTCAATGATTGCATTCCTGCAGGAATGCAGGCAGAGAGGAGAAATGATTGCTTTTACAGCCTTTATGGGTGTAAAAGCAATCTGTAAAAAAGAAGAAAAATCTTCATCACCCCCCACAAGTAGTACAGTGTCACTATGGTGACACACTACTGCTAGGGTGACAGTATATTAAAAAAACCCATGAATAATAGTAAAAAAAATTTAATTCAAATTATAATTTTTTTTTTTATAAACTAATTTGGATTATCTTTTTTTTTTTTTTTTTACCAAAAAGATAGCTGAATACATTTTAGCCAAGATTTATGAAGAAAGATTTATTTGTAAAAATGTATAAGAAAAAACAATTTTTTTAAATTTTTGGTCTTTTTCATTTATATAGAAAAACAATTTAAATAAATACCACCAAAAGAAAGTGTTAAAAAAATGCTAAACATTTCATATGGGTACAGTGTTGCATGACTGCGCAATTGTCATTCAAAGTGTAATAGCGCTGAAAGCTGAAAATTGGCCTGGACAGGAAGGGGGTGAAAGTGTCTGGACTTGAAGTGATAAAGGTAAAAAAAACCCAAAAAACCTGATTTTGGAACCACCTTCAGTTTTTGACAGCTAACATTTGCAGACCTGTGGTGAACCTTTAGGTAGCTGGATAAAAATTGACCATCCCCTCATGGTTAGGTCCAGAAATCTGATAAAGGATTTATTTAGTCCTTTTCAGCTGCTTTTTTTTTTTTTCCAAACCTGTATGAATTCGGATGTCGCCTTATGATGAACACACATCTGTTTGTCCATAGACTTGCATGGAGCTTTCAATCTGGTCCACCTGAAAAACTGACAAGTGTACCTAATCAGAAATCATGTGTGAAAGGACTTTTTATGTTTCTTCAAATTAAAGCGGTGTTAAACCAAAAAAATGTAATATATTGTAGCTTACCAGTCTTTAGATGTGGTGGTTGTATTAGTCTGGAGAGAAGGAAGTGTTGGATGTACTCAGATTTAGATACAAATTGAAGCCAAACTCCAGCTCACACTGCAGTTTTTTTTTTTCTTTTGGGATAAAGGTTTTACATAAATAAAAGCTGATAGTTGTAAGCTCCCCTTGTCAGTGGTAAACAGTTTGTCTCAACACTAACTACTTGTTCTTTTGAAAACTGCATTTGCTGGCTGGATCACAGGGTGAAAATAAAGGGAAAAAAAACTAATGTAGCCATCACATCTAAGAAATGGTAAGCTGTAACATAATTAAATGTTTGGTTTTGGATTTAATTGTTAACTGCTTTAGGTCATAAGTTTTTTGTTTTTTTTTTTTTTTTTTTTACTACTTGTTTACACTTTTTTTTTTTTTTTCTTGCTTCTAGGAAGGAGAGTCTGAAAATGATTTCACTTTTAAACTAACGGAAAGTAATGATGGAGATCCTGCTTATGAGGAGAAAAGGGTAACTTTATACATTTTGTTTAAAAGCTAAAATGAGCATGGTCATGATTATAATTTAAAAATTATATTTTGAAAAAAAAAAATGGTCATTTGCAATGACAGTGTTACAATCTTACCTTAAAGGAGATGTATGGGGTAATATTTATATTAACCTCCCGGCGTCTGGGCTTAGATGCCGAGCGGCCGCACATTTGCGGTCTATTAAAAAAGAACATATGTGCTGAGAGCGTGCGCACTCCCAGCACACGTGGTACTCGCGGAAAGGATCCCGTTCTCTTTCGATCGGGACCTTTCCCGATCATGTGACTGCATGTCACGGCGGTCACATTACCCTAAACCCCGCCCCGCCTCCTTGCTTCTGAAACCCTTAAAGGGCTGGGAGGCGCCAGCATGAAGGGGTTAAAGAAAAAAAAAATTGCATTTGATTCTTCTTGGGCATGCTATGCTCCCTAAGATACCTGGTAAATCTAAAGGACATTTCCCATGCATAAACAAATTGAGCATATTATGACAATTATGTTTCTCCTGTAAAGGTTTTCACACCTCCAATAATCCTTGCCGAACTCTATCCATGGTAAAGAGTTCACTTAAAAGTGGTCTGTTTTGGTCATTGACCTTGTTGTCTCAATCTTAAAGTGGTTGTAACTGCTCAAGGTTTTTGAATGCATGAAAGTAAAAAACCTTCTGTGTGCAGCAGCCCCCTAGTATTTACTGTACCTGAGCCCCATTGTGATTCAGAAAAAATGTAAACCCGTTTAATGCTCTGTTAGACTGCAGCTAATTTGAGTGGGCATAAACCACAAGCAGGACCTTGTCTTCCAATATTGAACTTGATGAAGCACTTGCAAACAATACTGTGTCTTACACTTGTGTTGATGCCATAGAATGTCAAGACACGGATCTCCTGAATGGCTCTCATGTCTATCCATAAAAGCAGAATGGCTAAAAGCCTGGACAGTTGAAGCCCCTTGCAAACATTGTTTCACACGTATGCCCTTTGAAGTAGGACATCTATATTGTGAGACACTTGACATTCATCAGAAAATGTCATAGGAGTTAAAGTACTTTTTCACAATGGAAGGTTCCTAAATCACCTTCCTCTGATGTTTTTATCTCCTCAAAAAGAGTGCTTCATCTATCTCCTCAGGCTTCATCTTCAAAGCCAAACTCAGTCCTTTTGGTGCAAGACTTGGAATAATAAACTTACCAAGTCCACCACAAAACTCTCAACAATTATTTACACCATCACTCCTGAATGTGGAGACATTTGTTACAGTTTCCTTTCTCTGGGCCATAGCCGTCCCAGAGCTGTGGAATCATTTGTTTGTTTCAAATGGTTCAAAATAGTTAAAAAAAAAAAAAAAAAAAAAAATGTACCCCCCTATCTCTTACTGCTTTCAAACCAACTGAGCTCTTAAAGATGGTAAGATATGCAGACCACCCTGAACCATCTCTTTCCAGTTTTTGTGGAGGTTCAAAGGATTCTATTCAGATAAGTTCAAGGTGCCAAAATACAAGGGGGGTATTTGTCCTATCCTGGAGCTAAAAATGTGTAAACAGGTATCTTAATGTTCCAAAGTTTTGTAAGCAATCCAAAAGGTTGGTTATTGTCTGTGAGACCAGAGGGATGATGAAACCATCCAAGATTATTATGTACATATTCCCATTACCCACTTCATCAGCACTTGCTGTGCTTTGCAGTGGGATACATTTGCTTCCAGTTTGTAGTACTGCCATTTAGCCTATCCTTTTGCACCTCTTCTTGCTCTATTAAGAACTCAAGGAAATTAGGTAACGGTATCTAGAAGACCACCTTCTGAAAAACTCCTCTCCCCTTAAGCTATCTGCATTTGTCTAAAGGACTATTCAGTTGCTTCAGGCCTTCGGTTGGGTAACAAACTTTGTAAAGTCTGCTCTCCAACCTTCCTTTTTAACTAGGCCTCATCTGGACAAACACTTTTTTCAGGAAAACAAAATTCTGTCCAAGATCTCATAATCTCTTCTTAATATTTAAAGAGTCATCCCTCAGTGGGAATCTCTGAGGGTCCATTCACACAAGCCATTGTATTTTGGTGTAGACAGTGCCTATACGCCCATCCTGGTGTATCATCACTGTTAGCTTTTTTTTTTTTTTTAACCCATTCACGCCTAAAGGTAAAACAAATCTTAAAGCCTAAGTAAAGTTTTAAAATTTTGACATGTGTTAGTAAAAACCGTACATATCATCACAACTACTTTGTATATCCAGGTAAATTATACCTTGTGTTTTTTTCAGGACAAATTGGGCTTTCATTTGGTGGTAAATGGTAATGGATATCTCTTCAATTTATTTTATTATCAAATGAAAACTGACCCAAAAATAGTAAAATAAATAATAATTTTTTTTTTTTAAGATTTAACTGTGTTTCTTGTTACTACCATAACCTGCCACCAAAGAACAACCCAAAATACATTTTCCAGCTCTTGATGATCACAGTGATACCATATATGTGTATGTTATTTGTTTGTACTTGAACTACAGCCCAGAAACAATAATGTGCATTTTGTTTTTATATGTAAAACACAGCACTAACTGACACTGATACCAATTTAAGAAAAAAAATAAATCCTGACCTTTGACATTGATCTTTGACCCTGACCTTGACCCAAACACTAACCCTGGCACTGAACTAGATCAAACCTTGATCTAGGTATTTTTCCTTATTTTCTTTTATTTTTTAATATTTATTTCTTTTTTTTTTTTATTTCTTTTTTTTTTTTACAAAGAGTTGTTTTTTTTTTTTTTTTTTCTGCAAGTGGAGAGAGAGAGACAATGTATCTCTCTCCTCCATTCAGAGAGAAAAAAAATACAAGGGGGGCGGGCTTCACAGTGACTGGTCACTGTGATATCCAATCAGAAGCTATCACAGCAATCATGTGACCCAAATTCAGGAGTCTCTGGTCCCGATCGTTAGAACGGGACCCGGGGCTCTCAGTGACAACTCGGTTTTTGTGCTGGGAGCGTGCTGTGCGGCGCGCTCCCAGCACACAGACAGGTACGCAAATAAGCGGCCACACATGAAAAAAAAACAGTTCTGTGAGGCCATATATTTGTGTTATGTTGGCGTGATGGGGTTGATGAACTTTATTGAAAGACGTTTTGCCTTGTGTGGTGGGAGTGCAGTGGGAATGTACTGGAATAACTGCCTCAAAGCAGTCCTGCACCTGGTGTGAATATACCTTCAGAGATCAAGGCCTCTTTCAATGCAAACTCTTGTTGGTTCCTCTCTAGTTCTACCTCTAGAGCTTGTTCTCATATAACCATATTACAACCAATATAGTTACAGTTAACACTTCAAAAAGTAGTCCCTGAGGGCTAACACATGCAAATCACTTTATTTACTCAAACCAAATTAAAGAAACAAAACAATATTGTGAATATTTAAGATATGGAATTTACAGTTTAGTCAAATTTCCTCTTATTGCATTCTGGTTATATTAGCTGTGTTTTAGAATTGGCAATTGCGTACAGCAGGAACTTCCGAATCCACATGTGGAAAGCTTTTTAAAATCCTGAAAGTCTGGCAGCTGTGTTAGCAGAGCCATTCTTTGCTGCTAAGTACAGGCTTGGTGTGAATAGGTACTGACTTGGTGCGATTACTAATCTAGCAAAACTGGTTTTCTTTTAATAGCATCAATCTCAGTGGAACATGCAAAATCAAATTTCTTCACGTATTGTCACACTTCTTGTTGGGAATTGTTCATTGTTTTTCTTTTTATGCAGAAAACAGACCGGTCCAACAGATTTGAGTATCTTCTGAAACAGACAGAGTTGTTTGCACACTTTATACAGCCAGCTGCACAGAAAACCCCAACCTCACCACTAAAAATGAAGCCTGGGCGCCCTCGGTTAAAGAATGACGAGAAGCAAAATTTAATATCTGCTGGAGAGTAAGTAATATCTATTTGAAAGAGAAATTTAAAAAATTGATAGGCGTGTCACAATTCCTTTACATAAGGTATGACCTCCACATCACTACAGGACACAGTAGTGTGAAATGGCAGCTGGCAGAACCATTGAGTGCTGCTCTTTAATCAAGGCAATCTCTAAAACTGTACAAAGGAGGAAACTAATGCCAGTTGCAGGTTATTTAGTAAATGCACTAAAACACCTGTGCATCCCTGTGCGGGTAAATACTGCCTCACACAGGCGTTTGTATTGATATACCCCCTGTAAGCAAGACCTAAAGCAGAACTAAATTGAGCTATGCTCTCCAGTGCCACTACATTTGAAGTTCCTGTGCTTTCACATCTTTGGTCATCTTCTGTATTTGATATCTTTGAACTTTTTGATTGCCCACATGGGAGTTAATTCCTGACACACAGCAGATACTGGGATTGTACACTGAACTGTGCATTTGTGACACATTGTACACCCCTAAGATTGCATTGTAGAAATTATGAAGTGGTTTTGTTGCAGAAGAGACATGGGAACATAGGGATCTAGTCATAAATTAGTTTTTATACAACTGGAAACCAGGATTCAATTTTTAAAATTGGATTCAACTAGAAAAAAATATGAATTTTGTGTAATTAATTTTTATAATTTAACCCAATAGTATATCATGTTTGCAATAAAAAAAAAAAAACGCTTCCTCTTGCAAATCTTTGTATTAAAAGGTCAACTTGCATTTTAAGAGATCTGCATTACTGACTGTTTGGAGTTACTGATTTTTTTTTTTTTTTAATCAATCCAACTACCAGCAGTTTACGTGTGTGCGTGGGTTTTTTTTTTCCTTTTTATAGCATAAAACTTTCATATATGGGCATAGACAAAAAATTATTGAAATCCTTTTCATTCTAGTATTTACGTAGGTCGTTTTTTATTTACTACAGTAATCGACATCGGAGAACTGAGCAGGAAGAAGATGAAGAGCTGTTAACGGAAAGTTCAAAGACCACAAATATTTGTACTAGATTTGAGCAGTCACCGTCTTGTAAGTGTGGATCTATTTATTATTTTCTGCCTAGTTTGTGGTATAATTATGTTTCATTTGTGTTATTTTGCACAGTAATTGTAGAATTTTAAAGTGGTTCTAAAGGCTCAAGGTTTTTACCTTCATGTATTCTATGTGTGCAGCTCTCCTAAACCCCCCCAGGATTCCTTACCTGAGCCCCCTCCGATCCAGCAATGTTCTGACCAGCCTCTGCTTCTGGGGACTCTCCCTCCTCGTTGGCTGAGACCACATTGGGAGCCCATTAGCTCCCTCTGCTGTCAGTCACAGCCAGTGAACCTATAAGGAGGGGGTGGGGCTGAGCCACAGCTCTGTCTTATGGACACATAGAGCAGAGGCTCAAGGATGCACCGGTGCCCCCAGGATGAGCGGTTTTCCCTGGGGGGCACTACTCAGGCAGGGAGAGTGTCAGCGGGGACCCAAAAAGAAGAGGAGGATCTAGGCTGCTCTGTGCAAAACCATTGCACAGAGCAGGAAAGTATAGACATGTTTGTTATTTAAAAAAACTTTAATGTCACTTTAAATATGTAATTGGACCTTTTTAGCTTTCAAAGCATTTTTAAAATGGTGTTGGATACTCCTGATCTGAATTTGTCAGGCAAGGACTGCAGGCTCCACTTTAATCTACTCCTGAAAAAATCAACTTGTTTATGGTCTAATTAGTAGCACATTGACTTATGTGTGCTACAAATGAAGTAACTGCAAACAAGTGGCTGAAGTCAACTAGAAAGAGATTAAAATTGCCTTTGTTACCTTTTATCTGTCTTGAAAGAGGTGTCTGCAGTTCTGGAGGTTGTCATTTACCAGCTCTAGAAAGTGCAACGCTTAGTGCACCTTTACAGCACAGTAATGTCTGTTTTTTGGATTAGGATTACTTTCGAGTTGCAGAGCCATACAAAGCAGTGTGCTTACAGTGAAACACAGCCTCATAGGAAAACAGCTCATAGTTAACCCTTTGATCACTCCACATGTTAACCCCTCCCTGCCCAGTGCCATTAAAACAGTGTCAGTGCTTTTTATTAGCACTGATCACTGTGTTGGTGTCACTGGGGATGTCTGTGACACCAGGTCAGTTCCCCCCAGTGTCAGAATGCCCACCCCAGTCCCGCTATAAGTTCCTGATCTCTGCCATTACTAGTAAAAAAAAACAAAATTAATTTATACGTATTGGGATTCTTTTTAGCAAAGACCTTTTGGCATACATTTATGACAAACGTTTTTTACTGGACATGTTTAATAGCAAAAAGTCAAAAATATATATTTTTTTTTTTTCTCAAAATAATTGTTCATTTTTTGTTTATAGCGCAAAAAATAAAAACCTCCAAGGTGATCAAATACCACCGAAAGAAAGCTCTATTTGTGGGAGAAAAGGAATGTAAATTTCATTTGGGTGCAGCGTTGCATGACTGCGCAATTGTCAGCTAAAATAACGCAGCACTGTATCGCAAAAAATGGCCTGGCCAGGAGGGGGGCAAATCCTCTGGAGGGCAAGTGGTTTACAAAAGTGGAGTTAGCCCCCGGTCACACTGCCATGATTTCAGGTGCGATTTGGGAATTTAAATCGTACATGAATTCTGATCTAATGAATGTGAGTGTCTTAACATACGCGATTTGCTGCAGCACAATTTCAAAAGTAGTTCTTTTATTACTTTTTCTGAAGTTTGTTGCAATTTCACATGGGCTACAATATAAATTGCACAGCAAAATGCAATGGAAAACGCAAGAAATCGCTTGGAAATCTTCAGAAAATGCAGCAAACAAAACGTGTAATTTTAAATCGCATCCAGAGTGAACCAAGCCTAAATCTTTTAAAGGATTTTTTTGTACACAGACTGGACTGGTCCTGACAAGGTTCTTGTTTTGCCAAAAAGGTTCTCAGCAATTACCCCATGGAAAGCAATGTCACCAAGAAAGTGTGCCTGCAGTTTATCCAGCAGTTTCTCATCTCAATAAGACCCTCACATGGATTTGGTTGGTGCTGTCAGGTGTTATCTGAAATTGACTGCTGCTGTTCAGTAGGTTGTCTTTGTGCTTCCTGAAGGTCAAAGGAAAGGTCATGCAGCTTTCAAATCTACCATCCCTTGATGGATCCATTAGCTTATTTCTCAAGCTTAAAGGATAAGTTCACCTTCGGGAACATGTTCCACCCGTTTTTTTTAGTGACCTGGTACCGCTCCTGCAGCTCTCACCCCTTCTCCCCCCCCCCCCCCCCCCCCCCCCCGTGACAACAGGTTGGGGATCTTCTGCCCACACCAAGTCATTTTTTAAAATTGTGGCTGTGTGGGACTCCGCCCACCCGCCGCCTCATTCATTCAGAGTTCTGTGAATGAATGTACTACAACTGCTGTCAGCCTTTGTGGCTGAAGGCTTGTCATTTTCAATGGACTGCCAAGGCGTTGGTGAGCCCTCGAGGTAGTTCCTTGAGTCTTCCTGTCATTGTGTAACTGCCTGCCTGTATCACATGAACAGTCTGCAGGAACCTAACCTTGCACCCACGATCTGCTGGTCATGGGTGCAATGCTCTGCAGGCTCAAAATAAAATAATGCACTTTACTTTTTTTACCTGCAAAAAAAATTTTTTTTTTTTTTTTGAAGGTCAACTTATCTTTTTAAGCTTTTTGGTGAAAGCTCCTTCTACCAGAAGTGTTGGTGACTATCATCGAATTTCAGTAGCTGATTTATACTTTTTTTTTTCTTTTTTTCACCAAGTGAATGCTGCTGAGGTTGCTACCTTTTGGCTGGTGTGTTATTCATGTTACTTCCTAAGGTTCTAAAGGGATGTGGACATTTTGTAAAAAACTACTCATCCAGGGACTAAATCTGGGTTCCAATCTACTTGTCCAGAAAAAAAAAAAAAAATGTTTTTAACCAAAACCGTATTTAAATCTGAGGTGCTGTTAGGCATGTCTGGGACTTTGAAAATCAAAAGGGGCTCTATGGCAACTTAAACGTTTAATTTTTTTATTATTGCACTGTATATCTCCTCCTTAGTTCCCTGCCTTTCTCCAGCACCACACCTGGGGACTAACAGGGAGGAGAGAGACCTTGCAGTGTGATGAGCACTGATTGGGTGCTTGTCAGGAAAGGGGAGTGTCTGGCTTATCCTTTATCCCTCTTGCTGCCAGAGCCATTTTTGTGTTTTTTGCACATTTAAAAAATAATTTTAGGCTTGTAGATTACACAAAACCCCCAAATATATATTTTTTGAAGGCAAAGACCCTAGAGAAAAAATAGTGAAAGTTCCAATTTTTTGTCGCATATTATCGCAAAGGTCTTGGAAACGGAAAATTCCAGTGGAAAATACTCTTTAATTTTAGGGCACAAAACAATAAATTACCCTACTTTTTTGTAAAATATAAAAGATGAGGTTCCACCGTGTAAATGGATATCCAGCATGTCAAACCTTAAATTTGCGTGCGCCCATGAAATGGTGACGAAATTCAGTACCCTATATTTTCTATAGGGGACTCTTTTAAAGCCCTTTATAGGTCATCCGTATAGTGTTACGGAAGAGGTCTTAGTAGGTGCTAGAATTACTGCTCTCGTTCTGGCATGTGCGGTGATATGTAATGTGTATCGCAATGAACATTTTGCATGCGTAGACGCCACAGCACATGCTTTTACTTTTGTATGTGCATATATTTGGTGGCGGGGAGGCCTCAATTTTGTTTTTTTTTTTTGAGAGGATATTATGTGCTTGGGTGCAACTTGGATTTTTTTTAGTATTAAAAAAAATTTTTTTTTTTTACTTCACTTTTTTTTTCATCACATGACAAAAAGTCTCCTATGTGATGATTTTTGGTGACAGGTTCTCTTTATTGAGACATCCAGAGTCTATAAGACCCTGCATGTCTTCCCTGTGCTCCCCTGAATGTAATGCAGTGCACATTGCACTGCATTACATTCTTTCTCAGCCTCATTGGCCGGGAAATCTGTGAACGGGAACCCGGAAGTCACATAACATCACTTCCGGGTCAGGACAAGAGGAGGAGGGGAGCAGACGTGGTCGCTCTCCTCCTTCCCCTCTAGCTGCCGGCGCACACTGAGCCAGTCCCGGGTCCGCAGATGGGCAAACGAAGCCCAGGTGACTTGGCAAGCGGGGGAGGTTCACACACGGGGGGGCAGAGGCTGGCACCGTGGTGAACTGTATGAAAGCAATCGGGCAGCAGCACTGCCATTGGAATGATTTCACCTGACAGATGAGCCCTGCTGCTTGCCAGCAGCAGGGCTAAAGTTGAAAGATGCTACCTGCCCGACTCTACATGTGTCGGGCAATACAAATTCAACATCCCTGTTCTACCACATTCTGATTTGCTTGTTGCCATCCCTTCATATTCTGTGCTTTGTGACCTCCCTTTTGTAATAAAGATGATGATTTCCTGTGTCCTAGGATCTACGATAAGATGGGATATTTTTTTTTTTTCTTTTTTACGTAGGGAACCTTCATTACAACAGGGTTATGCTGTCACTTTCAGCTGATTGGACACTGGCGAAAAAGACAGGAAATCCCATTTTTGGCATTACCCCTTCCCCTTTTAGTCAAAGCTTTATTTTTTTGTAGCAAGCCATAGACCACAAAGGCAGAAGGGTGGGATCCTGTGTCCTGTGATGTTCTCCAAGAAAAGGATTTATAGGTAAACCAATCACATTTTTCTTTGGCAGTCAAAGGAGGAACAGTGAAGCAGTGTGAAGTGGTTGGTGGCTTTACATAGGAAAGAAACACCATCACCTTGCCAACAGCAAAGTGACATCTAAATCAAAATCTAAAATAAAAGACATCTCTAATATTATGGTTGGCAGATTTGTACTTAGTCTAACTGTGTGACTTAATAAAAATCACGTTGAATTTTATTTGGTTCTGCAGATGTAAAAGGTGGCACATTAAGAGACTATCAAGTCAGAGGCTTGAACTGGTTGATTTCTTTATATGAAAATGGAATAAATGGCATCCTGGCTGATGAAATGGTAGGTGCAAAGATGAAATTTTTCTTGTTTTTTGTTTTTTTTTTTTTTAACCAAGGGCTTTGTAGCATTAATTTAACAAAGCTTAAGATTTTTTGTCTGTGTATTAATTTTGTTTCTATAAATTGCTTATTGTGTTAGTGAAGGCAGATGGTTAGGTAACAGTTAAAATGCATATGTGAACCATTTTATTTGCCCAAAAACATAGTGCTGTCCAGACAGTTTTCTAATTCAGATACTGTACTGTGCTCTGGCCGTTTGCTTTGTTCCATTGTAATTAAAGCAGTATAAATTGGTCAAGCCTGGGTTATGAAGAAATTTGCCATACTCTGATGTTATCTCTCCTGCAGTTATCACTCAATTTTTCAGATTTGCAACATTTAAAAGCTAAAAATACCAACCCCTTTAAAGTTGTTTTAAATGCTGAATGTTTTTTTTTACCTTTGTGCATTCTGCTCCTTCACAGCCACTCCAATACTCACTGGCTGTTCTGGGTCTCTTTCTCATTGACTGAAACACAGCAGTCAGTCACAGCCAATGAGGAGAGTGCAGGCCTTGCTGTTCTACCTGTCAAAATTTGTGGTGTTCTAATAAAGACATCCCTTAGATATGCAGTGAGGCAGCATTTTATTATATAGATTAAGACTTTAAACCTAAAAAATCTGAATTTGTCTCTTTGAAAAATGTGAAGTCATACATTCTTTGAAGTAGGGTGTCTGTACTTAAACAAGCACTGTGAACACTTTTATGAGATGCAGTGAAACGGTGACTGGAAGAGGACAATTTTAGAAATTCTTTGCTCAAACTTGTCAATATAGTTTCCCATTTAAAAAATGCTTTCTATGTCTGGACTTGAAATTTGTATTTATCCCTTGCTTTCCATTCCATTGCAACTGTTTTTTTATGGCTGTATCACCATTAGTCAAATTCACGGACAGGTCCAAATTTAAAAAAAAAAAAAAAAAAAAAAAAAAAAAAGTTTGCCTATTTGTACTTTAATGTAGACATTTATTTTCTACTAGGGTCTAGGTAAGACTTTACAGACCATTACTCTTCTTGGATATATGAAGCATTACAGAAGCATTCCTGGGCCTCACATGGTGTTAGTTCCGAAGTCTACCTTGCACAATTGGATGTGTGAATTCAAAAGATGGGTGCCATCTTTGCGTGCAGTTTGTCTTATAGGTGACAAGGATCAACGAGTACGTATTGTTGCCTCAATTAAGGAGTAGCTTGTGTCATTGGATCAAAATACGTCATCCTCTGTTTTATGTCCATTGAATGTATGCTACCTCTTGTTGCTAAAACCATTAATGTTTTTTTTTAGGCAGCCTTTGTTAGAGATGTTCTTTTGCCAGGTGAATGGGATGTTTGTGTGACATCTTATGAAATGCTCATTAAGGAGAAGTCTGTTTTCAAGAAGTTCAATTGGCGATACTTGGTTATTGATGAAGCCCACAGGATTAAGAATGAAAAATCAAAGGTGGGTATTTTTTATTGAATATTCAGGTCTGCAGAACAGCAGTATTGTTAACACTTAAATATTGTGGTTGGCACTGGGATTTATTTTTGAGTAAAAATAGTCTTAACTGCAGTGTAAAGTGAGTATATCTTATCTGCACTGTATGTTTAAATTCTCTGCATCTATGCAGTGCACATTTGTTTCAATAACTTTTATTAGATTAATGAGGTAAAACTATTTTCAGCAAAAAAAGCCAACAATATCCTGACAGAAGGATGTAGAATACACTTAGACAATGATTTTTGGTCTCCTTGATAGTTGTAACAGCTGTTTACATCTTAGTAAAACACATCAATTTAAAATGTAGAACTTGTGGGAGTTGTCGTGGGAGGCAGCAATATGGTAGGAAATCTATATGCAGGAGGGAAGGGAAGATGGACAAGATTGAAGAAAATAAAAAAGGAGGTTAGAAAGGTGCAGAATAGGGTAAAGCTACAGGGAGTTTTCAGGAAATATGCCAAGGTGGTACCCTGTTTAACTTCAGAGGGAGTGATTGAAACCCGTAGGTTACATAGTCTGGCTGAAAAAGACACAAGTCCATCTAGTTCAACTATAAAAGGGAAGGAAAAAATATATAATCCTACACCCACAGTTGATCCAGAGGAAGGCAAAAATCCCCAGCAAAGCATGATCCAATTACCTCTTGCAGGGGAAAAAATATCCTTCCTGATCCCTTGAGAGGCAATTCGCCATTCCCTGGATAAACTTTACTTATAAATATTAGTATCCAGTTATATTCTGTATATCAAAGAAAGAATCCAGGCCTTTTTTAAAGCAATCTACTGAGCTGGCCAGATCCAACTCTTGAGGGAGTCTATTCCACATTTTCATAGCTCTTACTGTGATGAAACCTTTCTGTATTTGGAGATTAAATCTCTTCCTTTGGACTTAGAGTGCCCCCTTGTCCTCTGTGATGACCTCCAGGGTGAATAACTTTACATTGAGTTCACTATATGGAAAACCTATGTATTTATTCATGTTGATCATATCCCCCCTTAATCTCCTATTTTCAAGAGAGAATAAATTCAGTTCCTCTAATCTTTCCTCATAGCTGAGCTCCTCCATGCCTCTTATCAGTTTGGTTGTACTTCTACACTTTCTCCAGTTCCCCCGATTATTCTTTTTGTGAATTGGTGCCCAAATCTGAACTGCTTATTCCATATGAGGTATTACTAATGATTTGTACAGGGGTAAAATGATTTCTCTCTCTGGAGTTTATACCTCTTTTAATGTAAGAAAGGGTTTTGCTCTCTTTTGGAAACTGCATCTTGGCATTGCATGCCATTATTAAGCTTGTGATCTACCAGAACTCCCAGATCCTTCTCCACCATTGATTCCTCCAGTTGTACCCCCCCTAGTATGTATGCTGCATGCATATTCTTAGCCCCCAAGTGCAAAATTTACATTTATCAACATTAAACCTCATTAGCCACTCAGTTGCCCAATTAAACAGTGCATTGAGGTCAGCTTGTAGATTGGAGACATCATGTAAGGACTTTATTCTACTGCATTGCTTGGTGTCATCTGGAAACACTGAAATGGTGCTTTTAATCCCAGACCCTATATCATTTATAAATAAAAAGTAAGGGTCCTAACACTGAACCTTGGGATACACCACTAACAACCCTAGACCATTCAGAGTATGAATCAGTAACCACTACTCTCTGAATATGATCTTTTAGCCAGTTTTCTATCCATTTACAAACTGATTTTTCCAAGCTTGTAGACTTTACCTTACACATTAGCCATGTGTGGGGGAACTGTGTCAAACGCTTTTGCAAAATCCAAGTATATCACATCCACAGCCACCCCTCTGTCCAAGTTCTTGCTTACCTCCTCATAAAAATAAATCTGATTTGTTTGACAACTTCTGTCTGTCATGAATCCATTCTGTCTGTTGCTTAAAATATTTTTTTTTCCCAGCAAGATCTCATCTGTGGTCTTTTATGAAAATCTCCGGTATCTTCCCAACTATAGAAGTTAAACTAACAGGTCTATAGTTATTTGGTAAAGACTTTAATCCCTTTTAAATATAGGCACCACATTGGCCTTACGCTAATCCAGTGGTATTATAAAGAGTACCTAAAAATTAGAAACCATGGCTTTGAAATGACAGAGCTCAATTCCTCAAGGACACATGGGTGTATACCATCTTGTCCAGGTGCTTTATTCACCTTTATTCTCTCTAAATATTTCTGGACCATATCAATTTTGAGTCATTGTGGATCATTTGGGGCTGTGTCAATAACAACCCCATTATGGCATGAGCTCCCCCATGCTCCTTTGAAGAAGGTATTTAATAAATTGGCCTTCTCTTTGTCCCCGTTCACCCACTCTAGATTATTTTGTAAAGGTCCTACATGCTTGGACCTGACCTTTTTACTGTTAATGTATTTGAAGAATTTTTTGTGGTTTGTCCCACTATCTTTTGTAATCTGTCTTTCATTTTCAATTTTTGCAGCCTTAATTTCCTTTTTACACATTCTTTTATATTATTTGTAATAAACAATGGTGGTGTTCCTTTTTATATTTTATAAAAGTTTTTTCTTTATCTTATTTGTAGCTTTTTTTTTTTTTTTTAACTTTGGCCATAAGCCACATAGGTTTTAGCTTTTTAAACTTGTTGCCCATAGGAATATAATTTGCAGTGTGTTTGCATAGTCTTTTAGAGGAACTCCCATTTCTGTTCTGTGTTCGTTGATGCCAATATTCCCTCCCAAGCTAAGTCTTGGAGAGCAGTTTTCAGCCTTGGAAAATTAGCTGTCTTAAAGTTGAGTGTTTGTTTTTCTTTCCCGTATGTGCTTGTTTACAGCTAACGTTAAATGAAATCATGTTATGGTCACTGCTACCCAGATGTTCTTTTATATGGAAATTAGTAATAAGCGCTGCATGGTTAGAGATTACTGGGTCCAGTAGAGCATAATTCCTAGTTGGGGCCTCTATGAACTGTACCATAAAATTGTCTTGTAATAAGTTTTTGAATTTTTGCCTTTTAGCTGTTCCTGCAGTGCCATTACTCCAGTCAATTTCCGGGTAGTTAAAATTCTGATGGTTGTTTGTAACACGGGAACCTTCTTATCACCTGCTATAGCCCTCCCCCATCTTTTCCCATTCCACCCACCAACGGACTCACCCCTGTCTGATCTGTCTGCCCCATTATAATATAATTCTCCCTTTCCCCTCAACCCTAGTTTAAATACTCCTCCAGCATTTCCATAAACCTCTCCCCCAGCACAGCAGACCCCCTTCCATTTAGGCGCAAACCACCTTTATCATATAGGTTGTACCCCAATTAAGTCAGCCCAGTGCTCCAGAGAGCCAAATCCTTCCCTATTTCACTTTGGTCTTTAGCCATCCATTCAGTTCTCTAATCCCCCCCCCCCCCCCTTTTTCCTGTGTACCCCTTTCAGCTTGCAGCTTAGTTCTTTAAATTGATTCTTAAGAAACCTCCACCTTCCATGTATTCTCTCATTGGGTCCAACATGGACCAAGACAGCTGGATCATGCCCAGCCCCTCCCAGTTATTTATCAACCCAGTCTAGCGCATGCCAAACCCTGGCACCAGGCAGACTGCAAACCATTTGGTTGAGGCGATCCTGGCGACAAATTATTCTGTCAGTCCTTCTGATTATAGAATCCCCTGTTACCACCAGCTGTCTAGGCTTCCTACACTACCCTCACCACCCCTCCTAGATGGTCTGCTGTCCCAGCTGTTAGGGATAGCAGCAGCATCTAGGGCTGCCACCACTGAGTTTGCCACCCCCCACATCTTCACCAAAGTTGGCAAATCTGTTTGGGTGCTCAAACCCAGGGCTGGCCTTCCTTTTCTGTGAGCCCCTAACACTCCCTATAACTACAGTAACCAATCTTCATACCTGATAATTCTGGATTACCCCTACACCTCCCACGTCAATGCCATTAACTATCTGCTCAGTGAGCAGAAGACCCCTCCTCCGGATATCTAATGTGAGCTTCCAGAAGGGCAACCTGCTCACATCTGTCGCAGCGGTATCCATCCTGGAACTGTTGCGCTCCATTGTTGTATACATGCGGTACACTGCTTAAAACCTTCAACCCTGCTAGCACTCATTATCCCAGTTACAATGTTGTTATTACGAACATGAAATTTTCAGATGTCACTTACAGGTTAGAAGACTCCATTTGTAATCTTCTGTTTTAAACTCCAGTTTATAACTCCAATTAATCAAATGTCTACAGGCCTCAAGGCTGATGGTATAAAAACACCTAGGGATCTCAAGTCTTAACAATTTTGGGAACTGGTCATTCATTGAGCAATGGCGGTCAGTTTAAAAAGAGAAAAGAAAGGTCAATGTGACAATATATTTGTGAGATTTTTTTTTTTTAATTTGCTTCGTGCCTTTCTGGATAGATCTGTTGAGTGTAAATTTACTGGTATGCTATCTGCATTTCATCTGACATATATATTTTTATTTCAGTTGTCTGAAATTGTGAGGGAGTTCAAGACGACTAACCGCCTCCTCCTAACAGGAACCCCTCTTCAGAATAATTTGCATGAACTTTGGGCTCTTCTAAATTTTCTTTTGCCTGATGTTTTTAACTCTTCAGAGGTAAGCTTTGTCTGACTGATGGGTGGATTTGGAAGTCCTTGGCAAGCTTAAAATCCTTTAAAACAGAAGTTTTTTTTTTTTTTCTTCAGAAATACTTACCTAGGTGGATGCAGCCATTGGTGTGATGTTGCATCTGTCTCCTGCCGGCTTTAAGGCTGAGAACTGAGCAAGCAAATGCTGCTGATTGCTCCATTCTTAGTCTTCCATGAGCAGAGAACTGGTGACTGTCAGTCACCGCTGTCTGCTCACCAACCCGCTCCCCTGTGTTCACCTGAGTGCTGGGCTGGGGGGGGGAGTGAGCGGCTAGCTCAGGGTCTCAGCAGATCGCTGATAGTGTGAGCCAGGTACAAGCCAGACATCGAGGTGGATCCTGACTTTAAAGTCGGAATCTTTACCAACGAACTGCACTCCTGTGATCCACAGGAGAAGTACAGCCAAACAAGCTTTTGCGGTACTTCTCCTTTAAGAAGATATGTAAGAATATTGGTACACATATATCTTCCTATTACTGACTGTCTCTTTTATTCTAGGATTTTGACTCCTGGTTTGATACCAATAACTGTCTTGGAGATCAGAAACTAGTGGAACGTCTTCATCTGGTAAATATTGACTTTAGGGGAAATGTAGCGTTCTTTTTAGGTGTACAAGAGAAAAAAAATTCAAATAAGTAATCTATCATTGTTGTGTGTTAATGTTTTAGAAGGGGTTTCAATACACTGTAGATATATTTACGTATTACAAATATTGGTTCTGCTTCCTGCTGCAATATATAGATCTTTTATTGGAATTCCAAACATAGGTGGTATGGAAGGTGCCACACCCTATTAGTTACAATCACAATACCAAAAGATTAACTACTTGCCCTCCAGAATATTTACCCCCCTTCATGACCTGGCCATTTTTTTTGGCACTGCACTATTTCAACTGGTAATTGTGCGGTTGTGTAATGCTGTACCCAAACAAAATTTGTCCTTTTTTTTTCACACAAACAGAGCTTTTTTTTTTTTTTTTTTGGTGGTATTTTATCACCTCCTATGGTTTTTACTTTTTGCGCTATAAAAAAAAACCCAAAAACAATATTTTTCACTTTTGGGTATAAAAAGTATCCAATAAACTCAGCCATAAATTTAGGCTAAAAATGTATTCTGCTACGTCTTAGGTAAAAAAAAAAAAAAAATCCCAATACGTGTAAATTGGTTTCTGCGAAATTTCTAGCGTCTACAAACTATGGTGTGTGTGTGTGTGTGTGTGTGTGTGTATATGTGTATATATATGTGTATATATATATATATATATATATATATATATATATATATATATATATACACACACACACAGTTGTGCTCAAAATAATAGCAGTCAGACATCACTAACCTGATCAATCACTGTTTTTGGTAGAAATGATATTTCTACATGGCAAATAATTTACTAGCAGGTGTAGTAGAATAATAGAAATCCAACAGACCCAACAGTCATGACATACATGCTGCTGATTCTGTGTAATTGAATCACTAATTGAAAGGGGCATGTTCAAAATAATAGCAGTGTGGAGTTCTATTAGTGAGGTCATTCATTCTTTGAAAAACAGGTGGCAATTATTGCCCTTATTTAACCACTTGAGCTCCTGAGGATTTATGCAGGCCATAGACGGGGAGAAAAACGGCAGATTTTTCTTTTAAAAAACGAAAAAATCAGTCGTTCAAGCGGCCGACGTTACCACCAATGGTAAAAAAAATCGGCCGATTTTCATCCCGTCTACAGCCGGCAAAAAGTGTCCCTGCAGAGAGCTCTGCTATTTCTTTGACAGTTCTTTGACATTTACAGCGGTTGCAACAATGTATCTATTTGTATCCATTTAGGATACAGATGTTTTTATTCGGAAACAAATAGATACAATGTTGCAACCTCTGGAACTGTCAAAGAAATAGCAGAGCTCTCTGCAGAGACATTTTTTTGCCGGACTGGAATTCCTTTTATTTTTCATCCTTCTTCTTCTTCATCATCATCATCCTCTTCTTCTTCTTCATCATCATCCTCTTCTCTTCATCATCATCATCCTCATTCTCTTCTTCTTCATCATCATCATCCTCTTCTTCTACTTCATCATCATCATCCTCTTCTTCTACTTCTTCATCATCATCATCCTCTTCTTCTACTTCTTTCATCATCATCATCTCTCTTCTTTCTACTTCTTCATCATCATCCTCTTCTTCTTCGCCATCATCATTCTTCTTCTACTTCATCATCCTCTTCTTCTTCTTCTACTTCTTCATCATCATCCTTCTTCTTCTTTTTCTTCATCATCATCTCTCTTCATTCTTCGTCATCATCATCCTCTTCGTCTTCTACTTCGTCATCATCATCCTCTTCTTCTACTACTACTTCTTCATCATCATCCTCTTCTTCATCTTCTACTACTCTTCATCATCATCCTCTCTCTTCTTCTACTTCTACTTCTTCATCATCATCCTCCTCTTTCATCTTTTTCTTCATCATCATCATCTTCTCTTCTTCTTCTTCTTCTTCATCATCATCCTCTTCTACTTCATCATCGTCATTCTCTTCTTCATCTTCTTCTTCTTCTACTTCTTCATCATCATCATCTTCTTCTTATCTTCATCATCCTCTTCTTCTTCTTCTTCTTCTTCTTCGTCATCCTCCTCCTCCTCTTCTTCTTCTTTTTCTTCATCATCATCATCATCCTTCTTCTTCTTCATCATCATCATCATCCTCTTCTTCTTCTACTTCATCATTATCCTCTTCTTCATCTTCTTCTACTTCTTCATCATCATCCTCTTCTTCATCTTCTTCTACTTCATCATCATCCTCTTCTTCATCTTCTTCTACTTCTTCATTATCATCATCATCCTCTTCTTCTTCTTCATCATCATCCTCTTCTTCTTTTTCTTCATCATCTTCATCATCATCATCATCCTCTTCTTCATCATCATCATCCTCTTCTTCTCCTCTTCTTCTTTTTCTTCTTCCTCTTCTTCTTTTTCTTCTTTGTCTTCCTCTTGCAGGTCACTGCTCATGCGCAGATTTTTTATCGGTAAAAAATCGGCCGATTAGCCCATTATTGCCGCGAAAATCGGCCCATCGGGCAAAATCGGCCGATTTTTTTTTTTCCAACTTTCCCGATTAAAAAAAAAAAAACGGCCAAAATACCGAAAAACGGCCGAACAAATAGCCCACTAACGATCCGAAAATGGGCCGATTTTATTTTCGGCCGAAAAATCGGCTGATTTTCCACCCATCTATGGCCTGCATTACCCCCCTTAATGACCAGGCCTCTTTTTGCTACTCGGCGCTGCACTAATTCAACTGATAATTGCGCGGTCATGCAATGCTGCACCCAAACGAAATTTACGTCCTTTTTTTCACACAAATAGAGCTTTCTTTTGGTGGTATTTGATCACTTGTGCGCTTTTTATTTTTCACGCTATATATAAACAAAAAAGACCAAATATTTTGAAGAAAAACAATATTTTTTACTTTTCGCTATAAAAAAATATATAGTAAACTCAAAGTTAGTTATAAATTTAGGCCAAAATGTATTCTGCTACATGTTTTAAAAGGAAGAAAAAAAAAAAAAAGGAAAAAAAAAAAAAAAAAAAAAAAAAGAAAGGAAAAAAAGAAAAAAAAAAAAAAAAAAAAAAAAAAAGAAAAAAAAAAAGAAAAAACAAAAAAAAAAAAAAAAAAAAAAAAGAAAAAAAGACAAAAAAAAAAAAAAAAGAAAAAAAAAAAAAAAAAAAACAAAGAAGAAGAAGAAAAAAGAGAACAAAAAAAAAAAAGAAAAAGAAAAGAAAAAAAAAAAAAAAAAGAGAAAAAAAAAAAAAAAAAAAATGTTAAAAAAAAAATCACAATAACTGTATATTGATTGCTTTGTGTGAAAGTTATAGTGTGTACAAACTATGGTATAAATACTGCAATTTACGCCATTTTTTTGCTATACAGCGCTGCTCTAGTTTAACGGACAATTTGCGCGGTCATGCAATACGGTACATAAATGACATTTATGCCCTTTTTTTTTTTTTAACACAAATAGAGCATTCTTTTAGTGGTATTTGATCACCTGTGCACTTTTTATTTATATAACCAGAAAAGGTTTTGAAGAAAAAAAAACTTTTTTGAAAAAAACTTTTTTCATTTTGGTCATAAAAAAAATCTAAAAAAAAAACTAATTTCGTCATAAATTTAGGCCAAAATGTATTCTGCTACATGTTTTTGGTTAAAAAATATCCCAATAAGTGTATATTGATTGCTTTTTGTGAAAGCGTCTACAAACTATGGTATAGATAATGGAATTTACACAGCTTTTACTTTCTGACTGCCCATCACATTTCTTGAGGTGCTAAAATACCAGGATAGTACAAACACCCTCAAATGACCCCTTTTTGGAAGTTAAACACCCTAAGCTATGTGCTGAGAGGCATGTTGAGTCCATGGAAGATTTTTTTTTTTTTTTTTCCACAAGTTTCTGGAAAATGACAAACTTTTTTTTTTTTTTTTACACAAAGTTGTCATTTAAATGATTTATTTCTCGCACAAGCCATGGGTATATGTGGAATTACACCCCAAAATATATTCTGCTACTTCTACTGAGTGTGGGGATACCACGTGTGAGACTTTTTTTGGAGCCTAGCCACATATAGGAGCCTGAAATCCAATGACCACTTTGAAAGCCTGAAGGTGCGTAACTTCCTCATTACACTTCCTCACTACCTATCACAGTTTCGAAGGCCCTGACATGCCAGGATAGCCCCAAACCCCCCCAAATGACCCCTTTCTGGAAAGTAGATACCCAAGGAATTTAAAAAGAGGCATGGTGAGTATTTTGCAGATCTCATTTTTTCTCACAAGGTTTTGAAATAGAAAAAAATAGAAAAAATATGTTTTTGTTTTTTTTTCTTCATTTTCCAAAAACTTGTGGCAACAAATGAGATCTGCAAAATACTTACCGTGCTTTTTATCAAATTCCTTGGGGCATCTACTTTCCAAAAAGGGGTAATTTGGGGGGTTAGGTGCTATCCTGGCATTTCAGGGCCTCCGAAACTGTGATAGGTAGTCTGGAAGTGTAATGAGGAAATAAAGCCCTTTAAAAGCCTGAAGGTGCTTATTGGATTTTGGGGTCCTGTACTTGGCTAGACTGCCAAAAAGTCTCTCACATGTGGTACCCCCATACTTGGGAAAAGTAGCAAAATGTATTTTGGGGAGTAATTCCACATATACCCATGGCATGTGTGAACAGTAAATCATTTAAGTGACAATTTTGTGTAAAAAAAAAAAAAAAAAAAAAACAAATATATTTATCTTTGTCATTTTTCAAAAACTTGAGGTAAAAAAATAAATTCTTCTATTGATTCAACATTCCTCTCAGCAAATAGTTTGGGGTGACTACTTTCCAAAAAGGGGTCGTTTTTGGGGGTGGGGGCGTTTTATACCCAGCATTAGAAGTTTATGCCACACATCATTCACTCTTCTAACCACCTGAAGACCAAGCCTTTTTGTTCACATGAAAAAAATCAGTATTTTTTGCTAGGAAATTAATTTAAACCCCCAAACATTATATATTTTTTTTAAAGCAGACACCCTAGTGAATAAAATGGTGGGTACTACAATTTTTTATGGCACATAGTACTCGCGCAGCGATTTTTCAAAAGCAATTTAAAAAAAAAAAAATACACTTTTTTTACTTTTAATGCACAAAAACAATATATTGGCCAATTGTTTGGTAAAATATAAAAGATGGTGTGCCGAGTAAATAGATACCAAACATGACATGCTTTAAAACTGCTCATGCCCCGTGCAATGGCGACAAACTGCAAACATTTTTAATATCCATAGGCAGCACTTTAAAAGCTACCATTTTAGATTTACAGAGGAGGTCTAGTGTTAGAATTACTGCCCTTGATCTGACGTTCACAGCAATACCTCACATGCATGGTGCAACCGCTGTTTACATAACGGCACAGGGTCAAGGCTTGTGAACACAGGTGTGCGTGCATGGGAGGGGCAATTTTTTTTTTTTATCACTTTTTATGCTATAACAGGGAATGCAAATAACCCCTATAACTTCAATGGGCATTGTCATATTCTTTTTTGAGAAATCTGGGGTCTATCAGACTCTGGATATCTCCTCTACCCTTACATTATCTAATCAAACCAAAATCGGTGTGATCAGATGCTTTCCCAATTTACAAATGGCGCTGTTTATATCCTGCGAAACTGAAGTGATGAAATGCTCGTAGCTTCCGAATTCTTAGACTATAGAGATGATTGGCACCATTCTGGTCTCCAATCAGCTCTATGGTCAGCTGGCAGAAACACTGGCTGCATTCTCAGGTTCCCCTGATGGCACCGGACTGCCCGAGAAGGCTGTGGAAGGCAGCGGGGGAGGGGGGACATCATCTCCCACTGCTTGTAAAATCTTGCAGCTAATCAGCCACTAGGATTGCACTTACATGAAAGCCGATCGCCGGCTGAAAAAAACGATACCAGGATGATGCCTGCAGCTGTAGGCATCATCCTGGTATATAACCATTCAAATCCAGTGATGTACCAGTACATCGCTGGTCCTTGTTGGTTATATATGCTATGTTCTTTTTTTTTTTTTTTTTTTTTTTTTTTTTTTTGTATGCAGCCTGTGGAATGAATGAAAAAATGAGAAGAAATCTCTGCCAGAAAAAAGTGTGTGGTATGCCCACCAGTAGAATATACCGCCCTGCATCAACCCACTTCTAATGGTGGGCACACATTAGGTCACACTTTGTCACAAGTGCCATTTCCCAGATTGAATAAAAATTGTCCACGTATAAGTGGTACCCCATATGGAGAAATGATGACACCAAGTCCCAAACTATCTTGCCACTGCTCCCCATGTAGTCTGGGCATCTGGGGGGGCTCCACGTGACTATCTTTTCCCTCGTAAATCCGAAACTTGTAAGTATAGCCTGTTGTCCTCTCACAGGTCTTCTACGTCTTGACCCCATATCTGGCGCGCTTGCAGGGGAGAAATTGTTTGAATGCAAGGCGGCCAGAAAAATTAATGAGGGACTCCTCAACGCAGATGTTTTGCTGGGGAGTATAGACATCTGCAAATTTTAGGTTAAGGTGATTTGCGAGGGGCTGAATTTTGTGGAGCCACGGGAGCACGAATCACCTGTGTGTGTGTATGTATGTATGTGTGTGTGTATATATATATATATATATAATGTACATTTGATTTTGCGTACCCATGCTGCCCTGTAGCAGTATTTCTGCTGTAGGGTGGTCAGGAAGGGGTTTGTGTTACGGCGCTGCGTTACTTTAACTGACAATTGTACGGTCATGCAACACTGCACCCAAATTAAATTTACATCCTTTTTTTTCCCACAAATTGAGCTTTCTTTCGGTGGTATTTGATCGCCTGTGCGGTTTTTTAATTTTTTTGCGCTATAAAAAAAAAAGGCTGACAATTTTGAGAAAAAAACAATATTTTGGAATTTTTGCTATAAAACATGTCCAGTAAAAAAAAATAAAAAAAATCAAATTTTGTCACAAATTTCATCCAAAATGCATTCTGCGACATGTCTTTGTTAAAAAAAATCCCAATACGTGTAAATTAATTGGTTTACATGAAAGTTATAGCGTTTACAAATGGCGGGAAAGATACTGGGATTTTTAATTTTTTTTTATACTAATGATGGTGGCGATCAGCGACTTATGGCAGGACTGCGGGACTGTGGCGGACATTTTGACACTGGGGGGAACTGACTTGGGGTCACTGACATTCTCAGTGACACCAATACAGTGATCAGTGAAAAAAAAAACCCACTGACTCTGTACTAATGGCACTGGGGAGGAAGGGGTTAACATTTTTTTTTCACTGAAAGGGTTAGGGGAGTGTTTTACTAGGGGGCGGGGGGGTGTGTGTGCTGGACGGGGGCAGGCTGATCGGGAGAGAGAAACTCTTCTCTCCCTCTTCAGCTTGTCAGGAGCTGACAGGCAACTGACAGATAGCAGGGCTGTGTGTAAACAATGCAGCCCTGCTCTGTCAGTGATTACCGTGAATCGCGGGGAAACGGCCGGTAATGACCGGCCATGACCCGGTGGCTGAGACCCGCTGCTGACACCTGCGGGACAGGTAGGGCGGACGCGCGCCTCGCACGCACCCCCTACCTGTTTTGCAAAACTACGTTTTAAAATGTGGTTTTTACCAGCCGTGCCGCCCTGCAACCGGTTTAATGCAGTGGCTGGGGCTCAAGCGGTTAAGGAAGGCAGCAAATGTTGTACATGCTGGTTACAGTGCATTTCTCTCTGAAATTCTGAGTAAAATGGGTCGTTCCAGACATTGTTCAGAAGAACAGCGTACCTTGATTATAAAGTTGATTGGAGAGGGGAAAACATATAAGAAGTGCAGAAAATGATAGGCTGCTCAGCTAAAATGAGACCGTTTGTCAGACGACCTCCAAACACTGAATTCAAGCCACAGTACACTGTGAAGACAGTGAAGCATGGTTGTGCAAGCATCATGATATGGGGATGTTTCTCATACTACGGTGTTGGGCCTATTTATCGCATACCAGGGATCATGGATCAGTTTGAATACATCAGAATACTTGAAGAGGTCATGCTGCCTTATGCTGAAGAGGAAATGCCCTTGAAATGGGTGTTCCAACAAGAAAACGACCCCAAACACACCAGTAAATGTGCAACATCTTGGTTCCAGACCAACAAGATTGACGTTATGGAGTGGCCAGCCCAATCCCCGGATCTTAATCCAATAGAAAACTTGTGGGGTGACATCAAAAATGCAGTTTCTGAGGCAAAACCAAGAAATAGAGAAGAACTGTGAAATGTAGTCCAATCATCCTGGGCTGGAATACCTGATCACAGGTGCCAGAAGTTGGTTGACTCCATGCAACACAGATGTACAGCAGTTCTCAGAAACTGCTTATACACATAAATATTAAGTGATTCAAAGGAAAGCAAAATCTTCAAACATTTTTCAGTTTCTATAGTGAATGTTTGAGTTTGTAAAAGAAGAATACAAACACTGCTATTTTTTTGAACAGTCTAATATTCACTTTTCTTCAAATTTTTTTAGAGGAACAACACAAATTTGATATATTTTTCTTCATGTTTTGATTTGGAATAGAATGTGTAGTGTTCCCAATGCATTTGTGTGTATGGAAATAAAAGCTATTAGAAGGATTTTGAGCTTTATTTACTTTTTTCAACACACTGCTATTATTTTGAACACAACTGTGTGTGTGTGTGTGTGTGTGTGTGTATGTATATATAATATATTATGAATTTGCGTAGCTTTTACTTTCTGACTGCCTATCACATTTCTTGAGGTGCTAAAATAACAGGGCTAGACAAGTAGAATTGTGCTGAACGTCACTTTAGGCACAAAGTAAAATTGGGCTTTTGCACCACTCAACCATTCATGGTAAGCTTTGTATTTTATGAATGAATTCCAATCTTACTCTGGCTAAGTTGGAGATTGTGGTGTCCTCTGCCTGCCTCTCCACCTCAGTTAATCAGAGGAAGCTTTTCGTATTCATTCATAGAGTACAAAGCTTCACATGAATGGTTAAGCAGCAATCAGCCCAAATCTATTTTGTGCTGGGAGTGAGATGGGAAGCTCCCGTCCCAGCTGAGGCTACATACAGGGTGTAAAAGTGAACAGATATTCCTGTGTTGCCAATATACAAATACCCTTTCTTATGTTCTTCCTGTAGTCAGGTATGTGTGAGAGACTGAATACACTGAAGTAGAGCACGTGTGAATTTACAGTTTGTGGTGGAGCACTGAAGGAGCTGTGGGACATCTTAGCAGAGATCACTGTACTAGAAACTGTTTATGCACAGATATTGCACATATTGTTTGGGTAATGTGATATTAGATCTATATATTTACTGTTTTGAAGATCAATGGTATTAATTTGAAAGTTAATTTTATTTAACAAATACACAGGAGTTATATTTTTTGATGTATAGTTTTGATTGATTGGAGCAGTGTGGCACTATTGACCGTTAATACAGCGTGCCTAGCAATCGCACCAATTTGTGCAATAAATTGTTTGGGCCAACTTGGAGTAAACAAACTATATAAAGGGACATTAAATGTGAAGATCAGCTTTGGGCTCCTTTCACACAGGTGTTCCGTTTTTTTCATCAGTTCAGTCATGTTTTTTCCAAGAAAAAACGGATCAGTTCACATCAGTTTTTCATCAGTTTACGTCAGGTTTTTCATCCGTTTACATATTTTTTTTAATGGAAGAAAAATAGGGTTTTCTTTCATTAAAAAAGTTGGATGTTAACGGATGCAGACATTAGCGGATGTAAACAGATAATCATCCGTTTACATCCGCTAGTCCTTATAAATACATGGGTGTCTGTTTTTTTATCCATAAACACAGATGAAAAACGGACATACGGAACGACCCTGTGAAAAGGGCCTTAGGGTAAACATCACTGCAGTGGCACCAAACAAAATACAAAAGTGGCTTTCTAAAAATGTATTAGTGGTTTTCCCCATAGTTTGTGTTCACTTATGTTTTGCTGTGAGATTCTGTAAACAATTACCACTTGTTTTGTAGGTGTTGAGGCCATTCCTCCTCCGTCGTATTAAGGCTGATGTGGAGAAAAAGCCTTCCCCCCAAGAAAGAAATTAAAATCTATATTGGTCTTAGTAAGATGCAAAGAGAATGGTAAGCTTGTATTTCTATATAATATTGCTCAATGTATCCTTCAGCCTTGTTTACTTAAGTTAAGTTGTGTCATTCTCCTTTTAACTTTTTTATAGTGGCATTAACAGCAGTGGAAAAAAAATCTATAGAGGACAGCTGAGAAAATGCCAGAACCTCTGGCAGAAAGGGCAGCATAAAAATGCTCATTGTGACTTGTATTATGCAAGAATTTGAGCATTTTTTAGGTGTTTGCTTTTATAAGTGTTTTTTTCAAAACTATTCCTTCTGCTCATCTTTCACTATATTCAATTTATGCTTGAAACCGCTGAGTGTTCCTAAATGCCGCTTTTAGGCCCGTTTGTGAGAGTTTGTGTTAAATGGTTTTTCTACCTGAAAACCTTAAAAAAAAAGCAATTCTGATTGTTTTTTTTTTTTTTTCTGCCAGAAAATGCTCTGCTGCAAATATGCCTTTAAATGCCCTAATGTGCATAGGCAAATAGGCTAATATAGAGTTTCTTATACAGGCTGAAGAAAAAAAGCTCCAAAAGCCTGTATAGTCAGCATTTTTTTATGCACAGTCTGCATGGAGCCTAAAGTCTTGACAGATTACCAGATTAGAGTTAAACAGGAGGTCTGGTGCTATAATTCCTCTCAATATGGTGTTTGCAGCAATACCTTACATTTGTTGGTGCAATTACTGTTTACATATGCGTGTTGGACCTCTGCATGCGTTTGCATTTGCACAAAGGGACAGGGGCGCTATAAATTAACTTTTTTTTTTTTTTTTTTTTGAACATTGTTTCTTTAAAATTTTGTTTGGATCAACATTATTACTATCACAAGGGATTAGCAACATCCCTAACACTGGACCCCTCTCCCCACTTGGTCCCCGCTGTCCCTCCCGCCTGCAATCATCTGCTGTCAGGGCTCCCACAGCCGCTCCATCAGTTCAAGGATTTGAAATCTCCATTGCTGTCTTCTCCATCCTGCGCTGTCAGGAAGGACCAGATAGAATCAAATTAGTCAGTTCCATCCATGTGACAGCTCTGAGCAATCACAATCCTTCTAGTTCATCTTGGCCTTGCAGGACGGAGAAGAGAGCAGCGTGGATTTCAAATCCCTGGACTGGTGGAGGGGCTGCGAGAGCCCTGACAGCTGATCGCTGGTAGAAGGTACAGCGGGAACCAGGTGGGAAAGCAGGTTTGGTGTTGAGTCACCTTTTACAAAAAAAATAAAACAATAGGGCAGCACAGTGGCTAAATGGTTAGCACTTCCGCCGGGCAGTACTAGGGTCGCTGGTTCGAATCTTAACCCCGGCACCACCTGCCTGGAGTTTGCATGTTTCTCCCTGTGTCTGCGTGGGTTTCCTCCAGTTACTCTGGTTTCCCTCACACTCCAAAGACATGTTGGTAGGTTAATTTGTTCCTGTCTAAATTGTCCCTAGTATGTGTATGTATGAATGTGAGTTAGGGACTTTAGATTGTACACCCCTTGAGGGTTAGGGACTGATGTGAATGTACAATATATGTATGTAAAGCGCTGCGTAAATTGACGGCGGTATATAAGTACCTGAAATAAAATAAAGTGACCTAACCTAGCTACTCTTGTAGGGAAGGCTTTAGTTTTTTTGCCACTGTCTGAAGGTGATGGTCACTGCTGAGCAGCTGTCTATCCAGATTAATTCCTACAACTATAATTGCTCATAGGAATGATACCAAGACACTGCACTGGTAGTACAGGGTGGCCTATAATGCTGTTGGTCTGCAATGGACCGTGCATATACTGGTCCAGAACCTGATAGCTTACCAAGGCATTTTCCAGTAGGGTACTATACAGGTCCACAGCAATGAAACCCATCAGGGGAAATCTAGTGTTATGAATGAAGATTGCACTGGTGCCCATTAGGCCTGCCGGTAACCCAGTGTAGCTATTGGTGCCACTCCCTCCCCACCCTTATTTGGGTGGCTGTGTTTGGGGATGTGTCCTGGTTAGGAATGTGCAGCTTAGCTTGCGGTGGGGAACGACTGCAGGGTACTATGTATATGCTCTTCTTTGATGCTGCTTTCCTGTTGCCTGCTCTCTATGCAATTATTAAATTTTCTTACATTTTTACTGCAGTTTCAGGATGCTCTAGTGCTACATAACAGTGGTAGCTCTGTGGGGTCACTCTCTCTAATGCCAGATGTGTGGCATGGGTCTCTAATATCAAATAGGGTAGGAGTGTGATGACATGCAGCATTGGAGTGCTACACTAGCTGCAGAGAAGCAGTATAACTGGCCTCTGCCACTCTTTAAGGAACACACCTGTAGCCTTCCCAGCTTGTCCTGGCAATCGAAGCGCAGCAGCATTGCTCAAAAGGGTCACGTGCGCACACCTACAGATTGTGATGGGGGCACTAAGAGCTAGACCTTCTGGGGTAACCAGCGCACTGTTGGAGTATACACAGTGTCCTCATGGCTGGTTGGGAACACTGTTTTGGCTCAGTCCCTTTTTTTGTTTTGGTGCCAGCAGGCCATATGTCTCACAGACGGAAGAGAGTACACAGGGGGAAACATGTCTGAAATACCTTGACCTTCATGTAGAGAGCAACCTGGTAAAGTGTCAGTGTGTCCTTGACAGCTCTTTTAGTATCAGGTACTCTCTTCCCTTATTGGGGTACTTCCACTACCTCTGGGGTACCTTCCTCTAGTTCCTAAGTGACTAAGAAGGATTTGTCTAGCATGGGTACAACAGCTGTCATGTTGCAAGCGGAGGCATTCCCTCCCAACTCCCCCCCTTCCTTATTAACTGAAGAAGAAGAACTTGTGGAAGAAAAAGAGAAAGCAGATGACTTCTACTTGATGATATGGCAGAAGTGTCCTCTTCTGACGACTGTGTCTGAGGAACTCCAGGGTCAGTTTAATTCAGACAGCCTTTGAACTATTACTTTCCAAAGTGGAAGCACACTGTTCTAAAGTTGCTGCTTCCCGAGAGCTCTTCTCAAAAAGGGGGGGGGGGGGGGGGGGACTTTACAATTTTTTTTTGCAGCTACAAGAAAGCGTTTTTTAACTTTTTTTTCCCCCTATATGTCATGCTTTCAAATGTTTCTTTGAGTGTGTAATAAAGTTTGGCTCTTTTGCAAGCTCTTTTTCATCTTTCTCTGGTTCTAGAGGAAGAAGTTCCACATGTTCTTCTCAAACCTCTTTATGGTTCCAAAATAGAATAGTGATGTTCATCCCATCCTGGACCCCAACAGTTTTCTCTAGGTATAAGAAAAATTAATAATAGCGCCTATGGTCAAAATTATATAACTTACTAATAGTTTACCAGCTGCAAAAAATCACCATATATAAAGTGTACCAATAAATAAATAATTTGCGCTAGTATAAATATATAAATATATATAAAGAAATCATCAAATCATAAGTCCAGAAAAAAATATATATGCCAATACCACAAAAAAAATATAAAAAAAACTTTTAAGTGCAAAAAACTTTTGTGCAAAAAAAGTGTCTAAATATGAAAAATTTCACCAAAAAACCTTGATAATATAATGGCAGATCATCCATAAATATATCTTCAGAAACGGAAACTCTGCAACACACCGATCCTCATCGATCGAAATAACAGGATGAAAAACTTTGTAGTTAATCGAAAATCCACTTCTCCAATAGGTAAAGGACCACCTTCAAACGTATCCATGGGGGGAAATGCCAAGCACTCGAGAGAAACAGAAAGACTTCATGGTGCAATATTATAAAAACCAATTCCTTTATTAGGTACTCATTGCACTTACTCAAGAGGTGTCCCAGCCGACACCAGCATCAACAGCATAACAGCAATCACATAAACGAGCCTGGCTACTCAGCACATGCGCAGTAGCTGGCAGCCAAAAACGTAATGACGTCACATCAATCAAGCTCCGCCCAATGGGCTGTCTTGCTACAGCTTCTAGTGCACATTGTGAAAAACTTGCTATGTTAAATCAAAGTAGGAAACTACAGAGGAGCCTGTCCAACGCTGAGGGCAGGGCTGTGGAGTACAGCGTTAAAAAAAAAAAAAAAAAAAAAACAAAACTTATTTGTATTTAATTATATTAAACTGAATGTTATGCCACAGTTAAATTGCCAAAACTGATTTTGTTTTTCCTTAGGTATACCAGAATCCTGATGAAGGATATTGACATTTTGAATTCTTCAGGGAAGACTGATAAAATGCGACTTTTAAACATCCTAATGCAGCTGCGAAAATGTTGTAATCATCCTTATCTCTTTGATGGTGCTGAGCCAGGCCCACCATACACTACAGATATGCACTTAGTTACTAATAGTGGCAAAATGGGTAGTCCTGGACAAATTGCTTCCAAAACTGAAAGAACAAGGTAATTCCCTAATTTCTGTTGCACGTTCTTTAAAAAAAAAAAAAAAAAAAACTTGTCAAAATGCATATATATGTAGAAGTAAAGGGAGCAATGGTAACTAATCTACAGTATGAAGAGCTAGTATGTCTTTATAACACTATTTTGTTGATTGAAATTAGGGAAACCTAACAATCAGAATGACCATATAATATTGCATCACTTGCAAGAGTAGGATGCTAGGTACAACCAGACTTTTAGAACACCACCCAAGGGTGGCCAACCCCACATTTTCATCATACATTTGAATTTGTCTTGTGCTTATGAGTTAGGATCTACAGTCGATATAAAAAGTCTACAAAACCCGGTTAAAATGTCAGGTTTCTGTGATGTAAATAAAAATGAGACAAAAATAAATCATTTCAGAACTTTTTCCACTTTTAAAAGTAACCTATAAACTGAAGCACCTTTTGATTTTATTACAGCGCTCCGTCTTCTTGGGTATGAGTCTATCAGCATGGCACATCTTGACTTGGCAATATTTGCCCACTCTTCCTTGCAAAAATACTCTAAATGTGTCAGATTGCGAGGGCATCTCCTGTGCACAGCCCTCTTCAGATCACCCCACAGATTTAGGCCTGGGCTCTGGCTGGGCCATTCCAAAACTTTAATCTTCTGGTTAAGCCATTCCTTTTGTTGAGTTGGATGTATGCTTTGGGTCATTGTCATGCTGAAAGATGAAGTTTCTCTTCATGTTTTCATGTTCAGCTTTCTAGCAGAAGTCTGAAGGTTTTGTGCCAATATTGACTGGAATTTGGAATTGTTCATAATTCCCTCTACCTTGACTAAGGCCCCAGTTCAAGCTGAAGAAAAACAGCCCCAAAGCAGGATGCTGCCACCACCATGCTTCACTGTGGGTATGGTGTTCTTTTGGTGATGTGCAGTGTTGTTTTTGTGCCAAACATATTTTTTGAAATGATGGCCAAAAAGTTTAACCTTGGTTTCATCAGACCATAACACGTTTTCCCACATCCTTCTGAGAGACTTCAGATGTCTTTTTGCAAAATTTTGCCAGGCTTGGATGTTTTTCTTCATAAGAAAAGGCTTCTGTCTTGCCACTCTACCCCATACCCCAGACATATGAATAATATAGGAGATTGCTGTCACATGTACCACACAGCCAGTACGTGCCAGATATTCCTACAGCTTCATTAATGTTTCTGTAGGCCTCTTGGCAGCCTCCCAGACCAGTTTTCTTCTCGTTTTTTCATCAATTTTGGAGGGACGTCCAATTCTTGGTAATGTTATTGTTGCGCCATATTTTATCCACTGATGATGACTGTCTTCACTGTGTTCCATGGTATATCTAATGCCTTGGAAACTCTTTTGTACCCTTCTCCTGACTGATACCTTTTAACAATGAGATCCCTCTGATGCTTTCGAAGCTCTCTGCAGACCATGGCTTTTGCTGTAGGATGCGACTAAGAAAATGTCAGGAAACACCTATTATAACAGCTGAGCTTTATTTGGGGTTAATCAGAGGCACTTTAAATGATGGCAGGTGTGTACTGACTCCTATTTTACATGATTTTGAATGTGATTGCTTAATTCTGAACACCGCTACATCCCCAGTTTGTTTTTCAATTGAGTTGTACAGTTTATAGGTCACATTAAAGGTGGAAAACATTCTGAAATGATTTATCTTTGTCATTTTTTTTTACATCACAGCAACCTGACATTTTAATGGGCGGTGTAGACTTTTTATATCCACTGTATATGTTGTTGTGCTGTTTCTTTCAGCTTTTTCCTGTTTCTGTTTAGTGGATTTTTGCCTTCAATTTGCAGTGTTCCGCTTTAATGCTTTGACCCCCGCTCCCCATTAAGGGATTGGCACCTTTAGGGAGCGGGTACCTTAATTTGACAGGTACCCGCTCCCACTTCTGCTGCAATCACCTAGGCAATCACGTGACAGGTCCCAGAAGACTACGGAGCCATTCACAAAGAGCAGCGCTTTTCGCGCATGCGCAGTGGGCACCCGGCTGTGAAGCTGCAAGCTGTCACAGCCAGGTGCCCACACTGCAGATGCCAGCGCCAGGGAGAGAAGATGGCCGGTGAAATCGGTGGTAAGAACACCGCTGGACCAAGGGACAGGTAAGTGTCTGTATTTTAAAAGTCAGCAGCTAGTTTTTTTTTTTTCGGGTGAAACTTTGCTTTAAGGTGATTTCTATGTGATTTTCATTGAGTACACCTTCTCCTTTAGCAAACAAAAGAAGTCAAGGGGCTTAAGGTCTGGTGAGCTTATATAGTGATATATTATACACACTCATACATACACTCATACATATACGCTGTGTCTATATCTGTGTGTGTGTGATATTTCCTATGTGTCCACCTCTACATTTTTACAAATGCACAAGTATACACAGATTTTAGAGAAAGAAAGGGAAACAGGTAACGGTGGTCTTTCAACACAATGGGACATTCATGAGAATGCTGACCATTTTGAGTACTTGTTAGTACATTTTTCCATTTCCATAGACATATTCATGTGATAACTGCTTAGTGTAGAAGCCTTCAGTTTCCTAATAATCAATGTGTGCTATTTTCAGGAATGCTGGAGGATTCCGCCCAACTTCCATATTTTTTCTCCTTTGAATAATTTTGTTTGCTAGACTAAATCTTTTGAATAATTGTTTGAAAATTAATTATTGCTCTTAACGTAAAGTGAAAACATATACTTTTTTATGATTATTACATTTACATGTGGTTCATATGTAATAAATAGGATCACGTGTACTGATATTTAGCCAGATGACAAGAGTTTTGGACATCTTGGAAGATTATTGCATGTGGCGAAACTATGAATATTGCCGACTGGATGGGCAAACACCACACGATGAAAGACAGGTTAGGATTTTAGTTTTCTTTACTTTGTTTTCTTGCCATAACTTTGCTTGCTAAAATAAGGTTTTATTTCTTATATGTTCCAGGAATCGATTGTTACATACAATGCTCCCGGCAGCTCAAAATTTATTTTTATGTTGAGCACACGTGCAGGTGGTCTTGGCATTAACCTTGCTACTGCTGATGTTGTCATTATATATGATTCAGATTGGAACCCTCAAGTTGATCTTCAAGCCATGGTATGTCTGCTAAAGTCTTCATCTTTATCTGTTTATGTTGATAAAAGTACTCTGCTCACCCAACACAGTGGCCAAGCTGTCACAGATGGCTCCTGGTCTCTGACTGGGAGGCAGGGTGATGGGTTCCTGCTCATGCAACAGCCAGACAGTGATCATGGGATTGGGACGTCTCTCCCACCTTCTGGTTAAAGGGCTTCAGGGAGGTGACCGGAAGGAAGGGGTTTAAGCAATAATTAAAATTAGAATGATTGGTGCGGCCATAGATTTGTAAAAGAAACATACAGCCCTGGCCAAAAGTTTTGAGAATTACACAAATCTCAACCACTTGCCTTCCAGAGGATTTTCATCCCCTTCCTGACCAGGCCATTTTGTGCGTTACAGCGCTGCGTTTTTAACTGATTAAATTTGCGTCCTTTTTTTTTTTTTTTTCTCCCACGACTAGAGCTTTATTTTGGTGGTATTTGATCGCCTGTGCGAGTTTTTTTTTATTTTTTTCGCTATTTAAAAAAAAAAAACACCCGACCATTTCGAGAAACGAAAACAATATTTTTGACCTTATGCTATTAAACATGTCCAGTAAAAATTTAGAAAAATAAAATTTCGTCATAAATTTAGGCCACGATGTATTTTGCTACATGTGTTTGCTAAAAAAAAATTCCAATTCCTGTAAATTATTTGGCTTACGTGAAAGTTATAGCGTTTACAAATGGCGGATATATGTACTGGTATTTTATTTTTACTAGTAATGGTGGCGATCAGCGACTTCTAACGGGACTGCGGCAGGCATTCTCACACTGGGTGGAACTGAATTGGTGTCACTGAATTGGTGTCACTGACATCCCTAGTGACACCAGTACAGTGATCAGTGCTAATAAAAAGCACTGACACTGTACTAATGGCACTGGGCAGGAAGGGGTTAACATGTGCGGTGATCAAAGGGTTAACTGTGTGCTGTTTTATTAGGGGCTGTCTGTGTGCTTCACTGTAAGCACTCTGTTTTACATGGCTGTTCTGTGCAGAACCATGCAAAGCAGTGTGCAGGAGCTGACAGGGGAGTGAACTGTTTTGTTTACAGCTCAACAATCACCAGCCGGGACTCAATGATTGACAGCCGCGGCCACGAATGGCTGCGAGGGTAGGGCGCGCGTGCCCCCTACCCAGAAATGCAGAATCACACATATATGTGATTTTGCACACCCGTGCTGCTCTGTAGCAGTAGCCGCTGTAGGGCAGATGGGAAGCTGTTAATTTACCTGTAAGGAAACACATGCACTCATTGCTTTGCACAAAAAGGGATTCACAGGCAAGAATGTTGCTGCTACTAAGATTGCACCTAAATTAACAATTTATCAGAGCATCAAGGCTTTAGGGTGCCCAAGAAAGAAAGTCCAGCAAGCACCAGGACCGTCTCCTAAAGTAGATTCAACTGAGGGATTGGTGCACCAACAGTGCAGAGCTTGCCCAGGAATGGCAGCTGGCAGGTGTGAGTGCATCTGCATGCACAGTGAGGCGAGGACTTTTGGAGGATGGCCTGGTGTCAAGAAGGGTAGCAAAGAAGCCACTTCTCTCCAGGAAAAGCATCAGGGACAGACTGATATTCTGCAAAAGGTACAGGGATTGGACTGCTGAGGACTATGGTAAAGTCGTTTTCTCTGATGAATCCCCTTACTGATTGTTTGGGGCATCCAGAAAAAAACTTTTTTGGAGAAGAAGAGGTGAGTGCTACCATCAGTCCTGTGTCATGCCAACAGTAAAGCATCCGGAGACCATTAATATGTGGGGTTGCTTCTCAGCCAAGGGCGTGGGCTCACTCACAATTTTACCTTAGAACACAGCCATGAATAAAGAATGGTAAAAAAACATCCTTCGAGAGCAACTTCTCCCAACAATCCAAGAAGTTTGGTGATGAACAATGCCTTTTCCAGCATGATGGAGCACCTTTCCATAAAGCAAAAGTGATAACTAAGTGGCTTGAGGAACAAAACATCGAAAATTTGGGTCCGTGGCCGGGAAACTACCCAGATCTTAATCCCATTGGGAATTTGAGTCAGTACTCAAGAGGCAAGTAAACAAACAAGAATGGGCTGCCATCAGTCAGGTTTTGTCCCAAATGTTGATTGACAGCATGCCAGGGTGAATTGCAGAGGTCTTGAAAAAGAAGGGTCAACACTGCAAATATTGACTGTTTGCATAAACCTAATTTAATTTTTGCTAAATGCCTTTGACACTTATCAAATGCTTGTAATTATACTTCAGTATACCATAGTAACATCTGACAAAAAGATCTAAAAACACTGAAGCAGCACACTGCGAAAATTAATATTTGTGTAATGCTCAAAACTTTGACCAGGGCTATAAGCGAAGAGAACCTGGAGCCTGCATAGTTGCCCTCTTTACCCAATTTTTTTTTTAAACACCACTTTCTTTTGGTGGTATTTCATCACTACTGGGTTTTAAAAAAAAATTTTTCCCCTGATAGATAGATATATATAGATATATATATATATATATATATATATATATATATATAAAAATTAAAAAAAAAAACATTTTGAACAAAGTTTTTGTTTAGTTTTTGTTATAAAATGCTTTAATCTTTCTTTAACTGCCTCCCGCCCGCCATATAAGGAAATGGCGGGCTGGTGGCTGCTCTCTCATTCTGGGAGGACGTCATGACGTCCTCCCACTCTAACTGCGTATGCGCACCAATCAGTGGAGCACCGAACGCAGTAAAGAGCCGCTCTATCATGATCAGCTGTGTGCAGTCACAGCTGATCGCATGTAAACAAGGAAATGCCAGTTATCGGTAGTCCTCTCCTTCTGACAGTGTGTGAGGAGAGCCGGTAAGTGGCATTCCTCAGAGGGGACATCTACACTGATCATCGGGGCACTGATGATCAGTGTAGCCCTATCAGTGCCCATCAATGGTAAGAAATTTGGCACCACCAGGACTCTTCCAAGAACTGGTTGCCCGGCCAAATCAGGGGAGAAGGGCCTTAGTAAGAGAGCTGATCAATAACCCAATGGTCACTCTGATAGAGCTCCAGAGATCCTGTGGAGATGGGACAAAGTTCCAGCAGGACAACCATCACTGCAGCCTTCCACCAATCTGGGCTTTATGGCAGAGCGGCTGGATGAAAGCCTCTCCAAAACACATGAAAGCTCGCTTGGCGTTTGCAAAAGCTTTTTTGCAAACGCCAAGCGAGCTTTCATCTGTGTCACCAATATTTCAGTATTTTCTGTTTTCATAAATTTTAAAATATTTCAAAATTTCGGTGTTCGCTTTGTCATTATGGGGTACTAAGTGTAGATTAATGAGAAAAAACACACAAATTCAAACTGTAGTGTCGGGCTGCAACATAAATTGAAAAAAGTGAACAGGGGGTCTGAATACCTTGTACATAGTGGCTGCGTGGGAAGCGGTTGTAAAGGTTGAAGGTCTTTTACCTTCATGCATTCTATGCATGATGGTGCATTAAAAAAAAAAAACTTGTGTGCTGCTCCCCCCACAGCCCCCCAAAGACTCACCTGAGACACCTCTCAATCCAGCGATGTGTAGGAGAGCCTCTGCTGTCCTGGGACTCTCTCTCTCCTCATTGGCTGAGACAGCTTCAGGAGCTATTGGCTCCCACTGCTGTCATTCACAGCCAGTGAGCCAATAAGGAGAGAACAAGGGTGGGGCCGAGCCACAGCTCTGTCTCTTATGGATGCATAGAGCAGGGCTAGGGAGCAAGCATGCACCAGTGCCCCGCTAACAGCTGCATTGGGGCTGCTCTGTGCAAAACCATTGCAAAAAGCAGCTAAGTATGACATCTTTGTTTTTGTTGTGTTTTTTTTTTTTTTTTTTTTTTGTAAAGCTGAATTTTTGATACCACTTTAAACATTTCTAGTGTTGGCAGCTATTCACCAGTGAGCGAGGCTGACTAGCTTAGATCCTCACTGAAACGCTCTGCACACTCTGCTTTCGTGTAATCTTCCCTAATGGTCAGGGTACTCCCCCCTTATTCTTTTAGGATGTCGAGTACCGAGGAAACTTGTCAGCCTTACATCAGCTTTGTTGACCTTCTTTCTTAGTTTCCCCCTTTGTGTCTGGAAGCCTGAACTTAGTGTTGCTAAACCTAGGACCTTACATTCATTATATCTGGTCTCCCACAATACACAGAACATAGAAATAATTATTTTAGTAAATATAAACTGCTAAATACCTTTTATCATCAGCAGTAAATGGCAGTCTTGTGACTTCTATCAGTGTCCGGTCAAGCACTGGGTAAAGCTCATAGGAGGAGTTTTCATTCTGTGACTGTGCTATGAGGCTGCATGACCCCTGACTGTCTGGACAGTGCTGATTGGACCTGCGCTGATCTCATGCACCCTCCCAAAAAAATAACTCTAGTAATATACACCAAACTGAGCATGTGCAGAGTGCCACCTAGGGACAGTGAAAGCAGGGAAGGATCAGAGAAGACAGGATCAAACAGACCTTTTACACAATTCAAAGGATTAACTCCTTAGGTTCCACAGTAAGTAGAATAAGCATGCTTTACTGCTTACACAGACTGACTTTACTTTTGTGGTTTAGTAACACTTTAAGGTGAGATATGCAGATGGTTCCTAGGGATCTAATAGCAATGATCCCTCTATTTCTTAGAGCAGGGATCTCCAAACGTCTTAAAGGGCCAGTTTACTGTCCTTCAGACTTTAGGGGGGCTAGAGAGTGGCCAGTTAGATTAGAAAATGTCCTGGCATAAGTTGGAGTAAATAATGCCCCATCTTCGATATTATAGGATGGAATGGTGCCCCATCATTCATGTCAGTGGGATAAATAGTGCCCTATTTTTGATGTCAGTGGGAGGAATAGTTCCCCAAGGGCCACATAGAGCAAGCAAAAGGCTGAGATTTGGCAATATTCTAGGGAAGGATTGGCTTAGAGCAGGGGTGGGCAACTGTGGCCCTTCAGCTGTTGTAGAACTACAAGTCCCATGAGGCATTGCAAAACTGACAGTTACAAGCATGATTCCCAAAGGCAGAGGCATGATGGGACTTGTAGTTCACCAACAGCTGGAGGGTCACAGTTGCCCACCCCTGGCTTAGAGTTTTATACCACTCTATAGACCAGTGGTCTCCAAACTGTGGCCCGAGGGCCAGATGCAGCCCTTTGCTTTCTTTTATCTGGTCCATGGATCCCAACAATGGGGCATAATTCCCCCCACTGACACCAATGATGGGGCACAATTTTTCTCCCAATTACCCCAACAATGGGGCCCACTGACACCAATGATGAGACCTAATTCCCCCTACTGACACACATGATGGTACGATATTCCTCTATATGACCAATTATGAGCACAATTCCTCCCAATGACGCCAACGATGTGTCACAATGTCTCCCAATGACACCAACAATGGGGTCCAATGACACCTTTTGATGTGGCACAATTCCTCTCAATGATACCAACAATGTGGCACAATTCCTCCCACTGACACAAAAGATGGGGCATTGTTTTTGCTCCACTGACATTGGGACCTTTTCTACTCTAAAGTCACAGTTCGGTCCCCCTAAAGTCTGAAGAACAGTAAACTGGCCCTTTGTCTAGAAAGTTTGGAGACCCCTGCTATAGACCCTGTCATGAGAATGTTTCTTTCGCAAACATGTTCTCAGGATCAAATTCTTTTTCCTTAATTTTTATTTCTCCGAGAAGTAGAGCTCTGCTTTTCTATTAGTCCTGCTGTAAATATGTCCCCTGGCTCTGTTGGACATCAGCTTAGTGCTCAGTGAAGATAAGGGAGTTCTTCACTTGACAGGGGTGTATGAGCTGATACCTACACTACATAATCAGGATGTTCTCCACAGCAGGTTGCTCTGTAGAAGCAACATTTTGCCTTTGGGACCTCTCCATCCTGTAAACTCTTCCCCGTGTCTTAATTACTCTTTATTGCTTGCTGGAAAAAAAAAAGCCTGAAGGAGTGGATAGGTTTATATGGGTATGCTGTAGGGGTGGCCGTAGCATTTTTTTTTTTTTTTTTTTTTTTTTTTTTTGATAGTGTCCAGTCATGTAAACATTGCAACATATAAACCATGATCTATGAATAATCAATATATAATGGTGCAGCGCTTAATAAATACTAACATAAGTGACCAAAATCAGACTAAATATAATCAAATAAACAATCTTAAGTGAAAAAGTGTACCAATATTAAATAAGTGATTGCACACACATAATCAATATAAAATCGATATAAAAGAATAACCCCAATAACAGGGATCACATTAAGTGAATAACATAATAAGTGCATGTGTATACAAAAACACTCTGTGAAATTATATATATCCACTATAAAAAAAAGTCCACACACTGTCCCAGTATTAAATATAAATTGGTGCTCCACAGCAATAACTCGCGTGTAAATAATCATAAATCCAGTGCCAACTCGTGAATCCAAAACCATCTGAAGTGCCCCCTCACCTCCTAACAGTGACCACAAGCGCCAGCTCGCTTTAGGGTAAGACACACTTTCCCAGGAATAATCTCGTCTCCACCAGATGGACCCTCCTGGATATCCCACAGACTTTTCTCCTCCTCAGTACTCCAATCCCCTGGTACTTGTATTATTAGTTCACCCACACTGGATCATGCAGCCGAAGAGTCGAGGGCAGGGTCCATCACCATATTGAAGTCACCTCCCACTATAAGGCTGCCAGTGGCAAAGGCATGCAGTCAAGAAACTATGTTTTAAACGACACTTGACCCGTAGATAGCATGGATGAAGTTATCACTAACTGGCAGGGGAGATTCCTTCATCCATGCTATCTATGGGTCAAGTGTCATTTAAAACATAGTTTCTTGACTGCATGCCTTTGCAACTGGCAGCCTTATAGTGGGAGGTTTAAGGAAAGTTGTGAGTGCTATGAATGAAATAAAGAGGCCAAGCATCAAAAAAAGGATACCAAAAAACCTTGTAAATACATAAAATATAAAAGATGCGGCGCTGTATCACAACTATAATTATGCAAAAACATCCAAAATATATAGTGATTAGGTGACTAATGAAAACACAAACATTATGTCACAAGCAGAGTAACATGCAGTGCAAAATAGTCTTAGTGACAATCCCTCTCCTTCAAAAAGTGCTTCTTCCACGCGGTGATAGTAAGAAGTATAAGGCTGTGCACTCACCAGATGCACAGTTTAACTGCGCATTTAAAGATGAACTCTTTACTGGATCCGCTGGTAGCTCCTAAAGGTCAGGTCAGGCCAGATATTACTCCCCCTGCTAGGTGTTGCTGACAATCCACGGTCTCCCCTTTGGGTGGCTCTGGACATCCTGCCAGTAACAGCACTTCCTGTTTCAGCTGACAGCGCTAAACTGCTGCCTCAAATATAGCAGCAAAGTTGTCAGTTTGCCATGTGCACTCCTTCAGTTGTTTGTTTGGACTGCAGACCTTAGTACATGGTGCCGAGACTACCATTGGTCAGTATTGGCGGGAAGTCCAACCCCGAACAGACTTCCACTAGTAGACGTGAGGGCGGAGCAGAAAGGCGACACTGGCCAACTCCAGTCCTCATGGACCCCCAACAGGTCATGTTTTCAGGATTTCCATTATTTTGTACAGGTGATTTGATCAGTTTCACTGCCTTAGTAATTACCACAGCTGTTTCATCTGAGGGAAATCCTGAAAACATGACCTGTTGGGGGTCCATGAGGACTGGAGTTGAGAAACACTGCCCTAAAGCGAGCTGGCCCTTGTGGTCACTGTTAGGAGGTGAGGGGGCACTTCAGATGGTTTTGGATTCATGAGTTGGCACTGGATTTATGATTATTTACACACGAGTTATTGCTGTGGAGCACCAATTTATATTTAATACTGGGACAGTGTGTGGACTTTTTTTATAGTGGATATATATAATTTCACAGAGTGTTTTTGTATACACATGCACTTATTATGTTATTCACCTAATGTGATCCCTGTTATTGGGGTTATTCTTATATATTGATTATGTGTGTGCACTCACTTATTTAATATTGGTACACTTTTTCACTTAAGATTGTTTATTTGATTATATTTAGTCTGATTTTGGTCACTTATGTTAGTATTTATTTAGCGCTGCACCATTATATATTGATTATTTATACTTTATGGTTGAAGGTGGGTGTTAGCAGCTTAGGGGTAGGGATTTTCCATTTAAGCTCAGGAGATTGCATTTGTTTTTTTTTTTGTTTTTTTTTCATGATCTATGAATGCAAGCCATTTGTCTGTACTGTACTCAAACATAAAAACCTTTTCAGGTAAGACAATTTCCTACTATCTCTTGACATGTTAAAATAAAAAAAGTTTTGTTTTTGTTTTTTGTTTTTTTTGGTCCCTGTAGGATAGGGCACACAGAATTGGACAAACAAAAACTGTCAGAGTCTTCAGATATATCACAGATAATACAGTTGAAGAACGTATTGTGGAGAGAGCAGAAATGAAGCTACGCTTGGATTCCATCGTCATTCAGCAAGGTAAGTCTGTTTTGTGAGTGTTAATAGCTTGTGAAAAGACTGATTTGTGCATTAGGTTGTACAAATAATCAAAATGAATTGTCCTTACCCATATGTGTGTGTATGTATATGTATGTATGTGTGTGTGTATATATATATATATATATATATATATATATGTATGCACATGCACTGATGCCCCTGTTTGATGATCTCCCTGCACGTGAGAGGTGGAGTTGCCTACAGTGGGGGGTGGGAGGAGGTGTTTGGGTGCTGGAGAATCATGTTTGAGCTCCTGCACCTATTCTCTGGGGGGGGGGGGGGGGGGGGGGGAGATAAGTGACTGACACGCACGCGCGCACACACACCACTTTATTAGGTACACCTGTTAAGTTGCTTGGTATCACAAATTGCTAATCAGCCAATTACATGGCAGCAACTCAATGCATTTAGGCATCTAGACGTGAAGGTAACTTGATGAATTTAAAACCGAGCATCAGAATGGAGAAGAAAGGGGATTTAAGTGATTTTGAACGTGGTATGGTTGTTGGTGCCAGACAGGCTGGTCTGAGTATTTCAAAAACTGCTGATTTACTGTGATTTTCACACACACAACCATCTCTAGGGAAATAGAGACTCATCAGACCAGAGAATGTATTTCCAATTTTCAGTTGTCCAATGTGGTGAACCTGTGCGAATTGTAGCTGTTTCTTGTTCTTCGCTGACAGGAGTGGCACCCGATGTAGTCTTCTGCTGCTGTAGACCATCTGCTTCAAGGTTCAATATGTTGTGCATTCAGAGATGGTATTCTACATACCTTGGTTGCAATGAGTGATAATTTGAGTTACTGTTGCCTTTCTATCATCTCGAACCATGTCTGCCCATTCTTCTCTGACCTCAGACATCAACATGGCATTTTCATCCACCCATCTGCTACTCATTGGATATTTTCTCTTTTTCGGACCATTCTCTGTAAACCCTAGAGATGGTTGTGCGTGGAAATCCCAGGAGATTAGCAGTTTTTAAAATACTCAGACCAGCCTGTCTAGAACCCACAACCATGCCACATTCAAAGTTAATTCAATCCCCTTTCTTCTCTATTCTGATTGGTTTGAAGTTCGTCTTCACCATGTCTAGATGCCTAAATGCATTGAGTTGGTGCCATGTGAATGGCTGATAAGCAATTTGTGATACCAAGCAACTGAACAAGTGAACCTAATTAAAGTGGATGGTGTGTGTGTATATGTATATGTATGTATGTGTATATGTATATATATATATATATATATATATTATTTGTGTTTTGTTGTGTGTTGGCAGCTTATTTAAATTATTTTGCTGCCTTAATATGATTTAACCACTTGCACTCCAGAGGATTTACCCCTCTTTCTGACCAGGTATTTTTTTGCGATACAGTGCTGCGTTACTCTAACTGACAATTGCGCGGTCAAGCAATGCTGCAACCAAATGAAATTTACGTCCTTTTTCCCCCACAAATAGAGCTCGTTTTCGGTGGTATTTGATCACCTGTGTGTTTTTATTTTTTGCGCTATAAACAAAAAAAGACCGACAATTTTTGAAAAAAAAAAAAACTATATTTTTTACTTTTTGCTATTAAACCTGTCCAGTAAAAAAATTTAAAACAAACGTCTTCATAAATTTAGGCCAAAATGTATTCTGCTACCTGTCTTTGCTAAAAAAAAAAAAAAAAAAAAAAAAATCCCAATACGTGTAATTAATTGGTTTACGTGAAAGTTATAGCGTTTACAAATGGCGGTATACATACTGGAATTTTTTTTTTTACTCGTTAATGGCTGCGATCAGCGACTTATAACAGGACTGCAGTGGGCATTCTGACACTCGGGGAACTGACTTGGTGTCACTGACAATCCCCAATCACACCAATACAGTAATCAGTGCTAATAAAAAGCACTGACACTGTACTAATGGCACTGAGCAGGAAGGGGTTCTCATGTGTAGCGATCAAAGGTTAACTGTGTGCTGTTTCACTGTGCCGTGTGTATGCTTTACACTGTAAGTGCACTGCTTTGTATGGCTCTGCTATGCAGAGCCATACAAAGCAGTATACAGAAGCTGATAGGGTAGAGATCTGAGTTTTATACACAACTAAAATATATAGATCCTCCTGTGCTGCCACTACCCCCTAATGCGCAAGAGTTGCAGCAAGCACCCAACCGTGATCCAACCAGTGTAAATAAAATGATATTAAAACATGATACTGCGCTACTCAAAATAACCTCACAAAATGCGACTAAAAATAAATAGAAAATAAACACACCACAGAGCACTGAACTCGATACGTGATAACAACATAAAGTAAAAAACTAAAATGAAATGAAAACATGATACTATGCTACGCAAAATAACAATCTCACAAGATGCGACTAGAAATAAGATAAATGACATAAATAGGTAGTATTGATGTAATAAAATTCAGCAACACAGTGGATTATTTAAACTAACAGCAAAGTAACTAGTAGTGACAAAATAATTGAGTGAAATCGTATAATGTAAAGTCCCAATTAGTGCATAATACAATCTTCAATACACTGTGCATCCACCAGTGACCACTGCTTATGCTCCTCCACCAGCTAGCATGCGTGCTCACCTCCAACTCTGACCCATAAAGGGTCATACACGCTTCTAATGAATATGCTTTGTAAGAGATTAAGGGAGCATATGCAAAATATTAAAAAAAGGCTATCCGAAACAGTGTGTCTAAACATTTTGTCACCCATCATAACAAAGATCCCTCTTTAATGTTTTGGGGGATTGGGAAGTTTGGAGAGGGAGTAACCAGATTCACACCTTAAGTCAGGTGGAATTGAGGTGGATCTTTAATATGCAAACCATGGCTCCTTTAGGACACAGTATTGAATTTGATTTAAATAGTTTCATTAGTGTTTATTAATTGGCACTTTCTCATGGTTTGTGAGTTTTTAGATCTCACTTACCATTAGTCTACTGTATTTTATGGTCTTGAGTAGTGATTTATTCATTTTTTTCTGCCCACAGGGGTGTTATTTATTCTATTTAATATTTGTTTTCTTCTCATCTATAGAATTTTTTTGACATCAGTACTACTTATTTATGTCATTTATTGGTCAGTTATATGTATTGTTGGATTTACAGTTGGGTCCATATATACTTGGACACTTACATATTTTGGATGCTTACTTATATTTTTTGATCCTTTAGCTAGCCAAATAAATCAGAAAGCAATCTTGCATATTTTGTTAGTGGTTCTAAACCCTTACATATACCCAGTGAAGTGACTGTCTGGTGATATACAGGGATAAAACCAATCCTCCTACATAAATTGTACATACAGTTAGGTCCATATATATTTGGACACAGGCACAATTTTAAGTTTTTTCAGGTATTTACCAAAACATATTCCAGCTATAGTTATATAATGGTCATGGGCTGAAAGTGCACACTCTCAGGTTTAATTTGAGGGTATGTACATCCAAATTGGAGGAAGGGTTTAGGAATGAAAGCTCTTAAGAGCAGCCATCCCCCCCTTTTTCAAGGGACCAAAAGTAATTGGACAGTTGAATATAATCATAAATAAAATGTTCATTTTAATATTTTGTGGAGAATTTTTTACTGGCAATGACTGCCTGAAGTCTGGAACCCATGGACATTACCAAACACTGGGTTTCCTCCTCTCTGATGCTTTGCCAGGCTCTAACTGCAGCTGTCTTCAGTTGTTCTTTGTGGGTCTTTCTGCCTTAATTTTGCGTTCAGCATATGAAATGCATGCTCAGTTGGGTTGAGATCAGGTGATTGACTAGGCTATTGCAGAATATTCTACTTCTTTTCCATCAAAAGCTCCTGGGTTGCTTTTGCAGTGTGTTTTGGATCATTGTTCCATCTATACTATGAAGCATCGTCCAATCAACTTTGCTGAATTTGGCTGAATCTGCGCTGACAGTATCTCTCTAAACACTGCAGAATTCATCCAGCTGCTTCTGTCTTTTGTCACATCATCAATAAACACTAATGATCCAGTGCCACTGGAAGCCATGCATGCCCATGCCATCACGCTGTCTCCACCATGTTTTACAGATGATTTTGTGTGCTTTGGTTCATGAGCTTTTCCAAGCCTTCTCCACATTTCTTTTCTTTCTGTCATTCTGGTACAGATTCATTTTAGTTTCATCCGTCCAAAGAATGCTTTTGCAGAACTGGTCTGGCTTTTTTAGATGTGTTTTGGCAAAGTCTAATCTGGCTTTTCTATTCTTCAGGCTTATGTATGGTTTGCACCTTGTGGTGAACCCTCTGTATTTGCTTGTGTGAAGTCTTCTCTTGATTGTAGACTTTGACAATGATATGCCCACCTCCTGGAGAGTGTCCTTTTACTTGTCTGGATGTTGTGAATGGATTTTTCCTTTTTACCATATAGAGGATCCTGCGATCATCCACCACTGCTGTCTTCCATGGACTTCCATGCCTTTTTATATTGCTGAGATCACCAGTGCGAGTTTTTTCTTTCCTCAGAATGTACCAAACTGTTGATTTTTCCACTCCTAATGTTGCTGCTATCTCTCTGATGGATTTGTTTACTTTTTGAATCCTTACAATGGCCTGTTTCACTTGCATGAGCAATTCCTTTGAACACATGATGTAGGTTCATAGCAATAGATTCCAAATGCAAATACCACACTTAGAATCAACTCCAGACCTTTTACCTGCTTAATTGATGAAGATTTAACGAAGAGTAGCCCACACCTGGCCATGACAAACCTTTCGATTCAACTGTCCAATTACTTTTGGTCCCTTTAAAAAAAGGGGGGGTGGCTACCATTCCTCCAATTTGAATGTACATTACCCTCAAATTAAACCTGAGCGTGTGCACTTTTCATCCCATATGCATTATATAACTATAGCTTCAGTATTTTTTGGTAAATACCTGAAAGAAAACAAATTGTGCCTATGTCCAAATATATATGGACCAAACTGTATGTCATCACTAAGTTTTCCACTGTATGCTATTATTACTTACCTGGAACTGTAAAATCGTGTAGGTATGTGTGTGTATGTATATATATTTATTTTAAATATTGTGTGTGTATTTGATTATTTCTTTTTATAGGGTGGTTGCAGGAGCGATTAACATTTCATGCATTAGGCTGTCCACTTAGATGTAAGTATTTCAGCATTCTTTTTTACATTTGTTTGATGAGAGAAATGTAGAGAGTAGGAAAAAAATTGCCCAAAAAACAATGCAAAAAAAGCAAGTGCAAAATAATGAAACTAGCAAGAGTATACTGATAAGGGCCTGCTTACATCTGTGGTGCAATTAACATGAACATAATGGTAATGCCCATTTAGTTAGGGCAACCCATTCATTTTATTGGGCTGCCTAATGCACCTAACACGGTGTATGCCCCATTTTAAACCACGGTAATGTGTTGTGGTATGCTGCAATTCAGTTGTATTCAAATGCCATTGGGCTGTAAAAGATGGAATTTGTGTGAATACTCTAGCAACATTATGGTATACTAATATGTATGTTACCCTACACTCAAGTACATTTTTTCTTGACACCAGGAATCCAGTTCTGGTGCATGAGGCTGGCAGTATCTAGAATGTGTGGATTTTAAGGTTTACTAACTCCTATGTACCCTTCATTCAGGCACTTAAACCTCACATGAGCCCGTTAGGGCCAGTTCACACTACAAAAATGCACTCCTTATACGTTTTTACTTACAGTTCACACCACACGCAGTTCCAATGCAGTTTTGATGCATTTTGCCATGTTCCAGTATGGTTCCGTGCTGAAAAATGCAGCATGTTTCTACGTTTTTTTTTTTTTTTTTTCTGCACTGGAAACTGACTAGAACTGACTGCATTAGTGTGAACCAGGGCCATTGAAATACATGGAAAACACTGTGCATGCATTTTTGATGCAGAAAAAAAGTGCATAGAACTGCATCTAGTGTGAGCTAGTCCTTAATCTTAATTGCTCCCCCCCCCCCCCCCAACACTTAACCTACTAAAGTGATTCATTTTTACCTTTTCCTCCACTTTATTCAATTCTAAACTAAGAGGGCTAACCCCAATCACTTCTGATTGTATTTCCTTTCAATATATCACAGGCAGATTAGTGGACCAAAATTTAAATAAAATTGGAAAGGATGAAATGCTTCAGATGATTCGACATGGTGCCACGCATGTGTTTGCATCAAAGGATAGTGAAATCACTGAGGAAGATATTAACGCTATCTTGGAAAGAGGTGAAAAGAAGGTAAAGGACTTGAGTTTTGATGTTCTGGATGTGAATCTAATCTGGTGAGGAATCTTAATGGCCAAACTTGAATAACACACAGGCAGCATTTAAGAGAAGTCTGGCCAGAGTTTTTTTTCCCCATACTTCTCTTGTGGAGCACAGTAGTGCTTTTACTTTTGCACTCCTGTGACCCAGAGTTGTCTTATATCAGGCTATTGCTTGCTGTCAGCTGGCATCAGAGCCGTTCCAGGCTTTGGAAGGATCATATTGGTCAGGAGCCAGCTTCTCCAGTGACCACTGAAGGAGCAGTGTAGAGAGCAGTGACTAACAAAAGACTAAGAATTGAGTGATCAGTAGTCATTTGATCACTCAGCTCTAAGTCTTAGATGACATGGGACAGCTGTAGTATCACACCAGCTGTAGCATAAAAATGTGTTTTTGTTATGCTTTTTGCTCTTGGTACCGTCCACCTATGAGAATAAAACTCACTGGAAGATATGATTTATGATAGGTAAGTCATAAACACTCCAAGTTTACAATTTCTCAGATATTCAAACCATATACCGTAGATGAACTTGAGTTTTATGAGTTAAACCTCTAAAAGCATCGGGATATGGCAGCTATAATAAAAGGCATGTGGTGCCATTAATTACTACTTGACAGATTGGCAACGTTAGCGTGATGATGTAGGTGTAGACCAGAGATGCCCTGATACCAGTTTTCAATTGGCGAGTATGCATACCGATGTGGTGCGATCTGCGTCAACACAAAATGTATGGACACAAATTACACTGCAAAGATTAACATGCGATTCCTGTCCAAATCGCATTCGGTTTACCCACTTCTCCTGTGTGAACCCAGGCTTGTCATATCCCTAGTTCACACAGAACGATGCGGGAAACTTTCCCTGCATGGATCCCAGGCTGAGCGGAGAGTGGTTATGTGGGGATGTATACCATGGAAGGCAGTTGCTCCATATTCTCAGCAGTAGGTGAGAAAAGCAGCGGGGATTTAAAATCCTAGTCACTTTTTTTTTTTCTTCTCCTTGCAGCAGTAATAGGTTGGGCTAGAGGGCTTTTGATTGGTCAGCACCATCACATGTATATTGAGAACATACTCTATTTAACCATCTTCTATCTTTCATAACTAACTTGACCATGTTTCACCATCTATATTAGGCCTAGAAGCAGAAATCTACCTGTTAGCTAAGGGTCTCATCACACAGTAGAAGAAAAAGTGTGTCACGAAACTTATCTGCACTTTCACACCTGCAAATCCTGTAGGGTTTCCATTTTTTTTGTCTAACCTGTATGTGTGTGTTTTTCTAAAAATGTTTATATATCTCATACACACACACACTGTGTGTATTATATATAATTTTGTGGTGAGTGCTGTCTTCATTATTTACTGTCGATTCACTATTGGGGAATGCTGTTAACTCATTAGGATTTTGGATTTAATAATTTGCATGGTTCTGGGATATTAGATTGATCAGCATTTTAGTTGTATTATGATAAACAATTTAAGCTACAGTATGTTTACATTTAAGGACTAGCATGTACCCACTATGCGCCTTAGTGTTTTCTCAGTCAATGTATGATGTAGAGCACAGATTATTAAGTCTCCTTAATTCTGTTTTCCATCAAGACTGCAGAACTAAAAGAAAAGCTCTCAAATATGGGTGAGAGTTCATTGAGAAACTTCACTATGGATACAGAGTCCAGTGTATACAACTTTGAAGGTGAAGATTACAGAGAGAAGCAAAAGGTAACATTTATCTTATCAAATCATTTTGTAATCATATATGTCAAATTATGTAATTGCTTGTAGGCTAGGGTGGATAGATATAGTGCTAAAATGAATAAATGCTTAAAGCAGGATTTCATCCTCTTACTACTTGCTGTAAATCTCCCAACAACTCCCCCTTCCCCTTTTGAGAACTTCAGCCTCACTGCACATGTGTCTTAAACTCTACACCGCACATTTCCTAGAAAATGGCTGCCACACCAAGCATGCCCTACCTTGCGTCATCGGGCTTTTCTCAACCCGGAGGAGAAAACTGGCCTCCTGATGATGTAACATGAGAAGATGACAGCATAGCACCCAGAGTACTGAGACTGAACAGCAACTTTATTATAAGCTTACCTGTAGGTAAAATTAATAAACAGAGTTTACAATCACTGTGTCATTTCTGTCTGCTACTTTGTTCCTCTATCAGCAAGCATCATTTTCAACAAGTTTTCCTGACACCAAGAGAAGAATGGTGACGGGAGGGACTTCCAGTAGACTGACAGCCCCAGCTCTTTTCATGTGAGCTGTGGAGGGGGTTCTCTAATTAGCTCTCAGAGCTCTGCCTCCTGAGCTCTGCCTCCTGAGCTCTACAGTGTGTAATTTCAGCTCTCTGCCCCCTTTTTCCTGAACTCTGACAAGCTTTATAGAATCAGAACTTTGAACAGATGTAGAGAGAGGACTGCCGATATCTATGTACAACTTATGTAGGATGATTTGTTTCATCCCTGTGTATCAACGGACAGTCAATTCACTGGGTATATGTAAAGATTTACAACCACTTTAACCAAATATGCAACATTGCTTTCTGATTTATTTTTCTAGCTAAAGGATTAATAAATATAAGTATAATAAATGCTTGTGTAAATTTCCATTTTAGTGTGTTTATTTGCATTCATCAGATGAATAGTACTTGGTTACATTTTATTTAATCTATATTTCATTACAGATGGCATTTACAGAGTGGATTGAACCGCCGAAACGTGAAAGAAAAGCCAATTATGCTGTGGATGCATACTTTAGGGAAGCACTTCGTGTTAGTGAACCAAAAATACCAAAAGTAAGTGAGTTTTATGGCTGTTCATTTGAGAAGAGGCAGTATAGAAAGCAAGAGAGAATATTTATTTTAAACTTGTTTTTTATTAGGCTCCTCGCCCACCAAAACAGCCAAATGTTCAGGATTTTCAGTTCTTTCCTCCAAGATTGTTTGAGTTATTGGAAAAGGAAATTCTGTACTATAGAAAAACAATTGGTTACAAGGTATGGATTTAAACGTTTGTGACTTATTATAGCTGCTTTGATTTGATCGACTGTGTTGCCAAATCCTGTACTTTACATCCCTAGGTCCCACGCAATCCTGATTTACCTAATGCAGCCCAGGCACAAAAGGAGGAACAGTTAAAGATTGATGAAGCAGAGCCACTTAATGATGAGGAGCTTGAAGAAAAGGAAAAATTGCTGACACAGGTTTGGCTGAATAAAGTTTTATGTCAAAGTACGAGACCAAACTTTCTTACATTTGGATTTTATGCACTACTCATGCTAATTGCATGCTCTGCATTTCTCTAACAGGGCTTTACCAATTGGAACAAAAGAGACTTTAACCAGTTTATCAAAGCTAATGAAAAATGGGGACGAGATGACATTGAAAATATTGCTCGTGAAGTTGAAGGCAAAACTCCAGATGATGTAATGGAGTATTCAGGCAAGTGTCCCATCTTGTACAAATGTATCCTTGTCTTTTTTACAAATGCATCCTCTTGTGAGGAGGTAATCTTTAATAGACCTTTTTTAGAACAGAGAATTGGTATTCAACCTGTTGGTCGATTTGCACTGCAGGTGCTTTGATTTATTAAGCCCTGATCAGAAGTTTTGTAGCTTGGATACAGCATAGTATGCTTTTATGCGCATTGAATGTTATTTTTTTTTTTTCCTATTATCTGCTTCTAGGCTTGTTTACATTATTTAGAGATAAAGTAGAACAATACAAACATGCATGAGAAAACTTTGGGACACTTCACAAAATGAAATTCACAATTTATTGTACATTTCACACCTTAAAGTGAACTTTAGTACAGCTGTTAACCTGTCAGAGGTGGTTGCCATCTCCAGACTTGAAGAAGCTGGGCTTGTTCCCTACTGTGTTGATAGGTGCCACTCAAGGCTCCACCAGGTCCTCTTGAATGGCAAACCTCTAGGAGTGCCGACAAGGATAGGGCTCATCCCAGCAAAAAACATCCAGTATGGAAAGGAAGTCCTAAAAGTAGCACATCACTGCAAAACCCTGTGAGGTGGTGTATTACAGCCTCAGCTTGGGCTCCAGCCAGGCCATGCCCTCAACACGTTTCACTCCGCCCCCAGAGCTTAATCATGGGGATAAGTGCCAGGGCGGAGTGAAACACGGGGTGATGAACCCTACAAAATGACCTTCCGCAGGCCACTGGTGTGAATGTCTCTGACCAAATAATCAGAAACAGACTTCATGAGGGTGGCCTGAGGGCCTGATGTCCTTAAGTGGGCCCTGTGCCCAGTACCATAGAGCTTGATTGACATTTGCCATTGAACACCAGAATTGGCTAGTCTGCCACTGGCACGCCCTGTGCTTTTCACAGATGATAGCAGTTTCTCCCTGAGCACATGTGACAGACCTGAAAGGGTCTGGAGAAGCCATGAAGAACGTTATGCTGCCTGTAACATCGTTCATCATGATCGTTTTGGTGATGGGTCAGTGATGGTCTGGGGAGGCATATCCATAGAGGGATGCACAGACCTCTACAGGCTAGACAATGGCACCCTGACTGCCTTTAGGTATCAGGATGAAATCCTTGGGCCCATTATCAGACCCTACGCTGGTGCAGTGGGTCCTGGGTGCACAACAATGCCCAGCCTCATGTGGTGAGAGTAGTATGCAGGCAGTTCCTGTAGGATGAAGGAACTGATACCATTGAATGACCCCCACGCTCTCCTTACCTAAATCCAAATCTCTGGGATATCATTTTTTTCGGTCTATGTGATGCTGCAGGTTGTGCCCTAGACTGTCCAGGAGCTCAGTGATGCCCTGGTCCAAATCTGGGAGGAAATTCCACTGAACACCATCTGTCGTTTCATTAGGAGCATGCCCCGATGTTGTCAGGCATGCATACGTGGGGGGCCATACAAACTACTGAGTACCATTTTGAGTTGCTGCAATGAAATTTCAGCAAAATGGACTAGCCTGCTGCGTCATTTTTTCACTTTGATTTTTGAGGGGTGTCTTTGAATTCAGTCCTCTAGGTTGAGAATTTTCATTTCCATCAAACGATGGGGGCAACCTTCTATTATAGATACATAGATCTAGATGTATATAATTTTTTTGCTAATGTGTGCATCATGCATTAAACTTTTTTTTTTTTTTTTTTTCATTTACTTAGCTGTCTTTTGGGAAAGATGTAACGAACTTCAGGATATTGAAAAAATAATGGCTCAAATAGAAAGAGGAGAAGCCCGCATACAGAGGAGAATAAGTATCAAGAAAGCTCTGGATACGAAGGTAATTAATGTGAAGGAATATCTGCTTTTGCGTTTTATTTTTCTTGCACTAATGCTGTTCTGATTTAAGTATTCCGCAACACTACAAATGTTTGGGTTTTTTTCTTTCTTTTTAAATTTCTAGATTGGTCGCTACAAAGCACCTTTTCATCAGCTAAGGATATCATATGGCACAAATAAAGGAAAGAACTACACAGAAGAGGAAGACCGATTTTTAATATGCATGCTACACAAACTTGGTTTTGATAAAGAAAATGTATACGATGAACTCAGGCAGTGTATTCGTAACTCTCCACAATTTAGATTCGACTGGTTTCTGAAATCAAGAACTGCAATGGTAGGCAATGTGTCACTTTTTAGAAATAGCAGCCATATTTTCATAACAATCTTTTTCCTTAATAGTTGTGATTGTAAGTATGATTTTAGCACAAAAGTTGCATTTCATCTTAACCGGGTTGCTCCTTTTTCTCCTTAGGAACTGCAAAGAAGATGTAATACTTTAATCACATTGATTGAACGGGAGAACTTAGAGTTAGAAGAGAAAGAGAAAGCAGAGAAAAAGAAACGTGGACCAAAGCCTTCTTCGGTAAGACTTTAAACTAATATCCTTGTAAATAAAATCCATGTATTCTCATATTTTTCTTGTATTATTCTTGTTATGCCTTTATGAATAGGCATGTATTTTAGGTAGTACAAGTCTTTTAAAAACATGGCTATTCTTTGACAGTGACCATTCTTTTGGAAACTTTCATATCTAAGTTTGATGTTACTTGCCCATAATCAATGCTGCCTAAAAAAAAAGACAAAAACTTGGCATGTCACTGGCATCTAAGCAGCATTTCAAAATGCTTTTAGAAAAGACGACATCTGTGATTGTGACAAACCTGCACATGTTTAGCTGAGAAATAGAGGGGGTGGGCGACACTAGTGTAGTGAAGCATTTCTTGACTTGTTCCCCCTGGAATAGGTAGCATGTGGCATTTGGAGCACAAGATAATAGGCATTTCCATGCCTTGTGAAGAATGTTGTAAAATTATGACTGAGATTTTATTGAGACACGTATGGTTGTAGATGCAATCACCCTAAGCTGTACATTTATTGTAAACACCCACTGCAGAAATGTAAGGTGTTGATGACAACTTTTTTTTTTTTTTCCTGAACTGGGGCTTCAGTTTACGTTGGGATTAGGTGTAGTGTAGAGGAAAGTTTGAATTGTCTCTAGGAGAAAATGAAGAGCATTAACTGCAAATATTTCATAGTTCTGGAAATGATGATCCTAATATAGAATATTTAAGAAATGGTATGCATTTCTTGTATCACCATGCTTTTAGGATTTATTGAAGTTTTTTTTAAATCTATCCCAGAAACCTGACACTTGCATATCTAATTTTATTTTACAGGCACAGAAGCGGAAATTGGAGGGCGCTCCTGATGGCAGGGGAAGAAAGAAAAAGCTTAAGCTTTGAAGTGTGTGTTTTGTAATCAATAAATTCCAGAAGTAGTTCTTTCTTTACGGGTCTTCATAAGATGTACTGTACACTGATCAGCTATTATGTCATTCAAAGACATCAGGTTCATCTGTTTGAGCTAGGAACATAGTACTTTATTGTAGGTAGTTCTCCTTTTTTAAATAAAACAGCTGTGCTGGACATTTTTTACCATTACCATTTGAAGTAATAAAATTAGGCTTCGTTAAATGGTATTGTTAATGTGTTTTTTCTCCCTTTGTTGAAACATAAGATGTAAATTAAAAGACCGTTTTTGTATTTTCTTTGGAATAATACCTACGACACAATTTTGTAATATTCATTTAATACATATCTAATTTGTTCATAAATATTTGCTTGTGTGTGTTTTTGCCCACCTTTTTTTTTTTATTTTTTTTTTTGTTATGGCATTCCCAGAGATGGTCACTCAGCAATGATGTAAACCTTACTGGCTTTGATATTGCAGATCTCATTGCATCTACAGTGCCATACAAGTACCCTAGTAAACTGAAGAAGAGTTTTAATGGATACAAGTGGCCTCATTCACTTGTACAGCACACTCTTGCCCCTCTCAAATGCAGCGCATGGTAGACTGCTTATCAGAGGGTAGTAGAGCAGAGGCTGTAAGGCATTCAGGAGGCGATACGGCTGCCACAATTCTGTTAAAGTGCATGCTTGTTGTGCCAACAAGTATGTGTTAGGAATGAATGCAATAATCTTTGTAATCTGTTCAGTTGGATATTTTACACTATATGTTACATTAATACAATGTGTTCATTTTGAATTGGCTGGCAATTCCCCTTGATGCTGACAAAAACGTACTTGAACGGTTTTGTTTTTTAAGCACACCACCACACATACAGATGGGGCATTGTGCTTTATGGCCTATGTGCAATGGACATTACATTTAAAATTGTCAGAGTACCATGTGTAATATGGTAGAACTTGTGATACAACAATGCACTTTTTGCTTATGAATGGCCACTTGCCAAAAGCTTAATATTGTTTCTCTATTTACATTGATGGTATTTAGAGGCCAAGTCCATCTTTAAGACCATGTCACACCCAAATTTAGGGTGCAACATAGTGCCAGGCAGACTCCCCAACCCCCAAAAGGGCCCCCTCTGACTGTTGGTGTGCAGCAGCTGTTAGATTTTAAATTGGCCAGAATGTGCAAGGCTACATTCGTGTCACTTAGAGATCTGTAAGTGAAATTCTCTCTGCCACCATGGCAGGTGGACATGCAGTTATCGATGGAATACATAGTCATTTGACAACTTCCTCTAACTGAAAGTTCTTACTGTGGTATGGACAGGGAGCTAGAGGGAAGAATGCTCAGGCTGGCATTTCACTGATCATGACTGAAATGCTTTGCAGGTTCATTTGCAAAAAAAGAAAAAATTTGTTTTCCTTTTCTGCAAAAAAGGTGCGTTTTGTGTTCTTTTGGCAAAAGGTGGACTTGGCCTTTAAGCAATTTATTTATTTTAGGTACTTACATAGCGCTGTCAATTTACGCAGCTTTACATATATATTGTACATTCACATCAGTCCCTAACCTTCAAGGGGCTTGCAATCTATGGTCCCTAACTTACGTTGATATACACATACTAGGGCCAATTTGAGACAGGAGGTGGTGTGGTTGGAATTCGAACCAACTACCCTGCCAGGTGGAAGTGTTACTCATTTAGCCACTGTGCTGCCCGTAGGGTTATATACCACCTACAAGTGAAATGAACACTAGGCACAAAAACTGAAGGCCAATGCCCTACATGTAAAAAAAACCATACACATTGCTCATTATGCTTGGTGTCCTCAGGAGAATGAAGGTCTCCTTTTCCTCTTTGCTAAATTTTTTGATTGCATTTGAAGAATTTCTATCAACAGTTACTGATAGATTCATGCTGCATATGGAAAATCTTTGACATCCCTCCTGTAAACTAATGGGCACAGGTTTTCCCAGTTTGTATACTGGTGTTTTCTCTGTGACAGTGACATCTCAGCTGCGTCCAGTGACAAGGGACTCTGCTATTCAGGTCAGTCCAGTTTTCCTGGGAATTCTTTGCTGAAAATCAGAACCAGGGGCTGTGGTAGTTACTCTGACCCTGCTCATAACCAAACTCTCCATATCTTAATTATACAGTGCAGGGCACAGGCTGGATGCTTGCAGACTCAGGGTTAGTCTGTCACTCAGATAATTGGACATAGGTAAAGCTTTGATTCCTGTTTATTTTTATTTATTTATTTGTTTATTTTTGCTAGTTTTCTATGCTTAACCAGTTCTCTTTATTCCAGATTTGTTCAATCAACTCTTTGCTGTCTTCTGCTATACAATAAAAACAATGTATACTGATTGGTGTAACTTTAGTAATACCTTGGGAACTACCCGAACCCCATGCTGTGGGGGTGGCCTATAATGTTGCTTCAGGCACTAGATTCTGCTTGGGTGATCACCTTGGCAATGAGTGTAGGTAACTGCAGGGTGCTATACGGTCAATTTTTATGGTTCCCCAACCTTAAAGACCCCTTCGGGGGAATGCCCATCATTGCTGGTGAAGCATGGACTTATATGGGACCAGCAACACTGAAAGGTAAGACAGGCTTGTAATTTGTTTTTTTTCCACCAACACTAGCTTCACAGCAAGTATGAGACAATATCTTAATTAGTTGCTGTACACTTAAAGCCAAACTCCAGACAATTAATAACCCTTGTAGTGGAGCTGTGCCTACATTGCAAGGGTTAATTGTTCATTTAGGTCCAGGGTAGCAATAAAGGAAGATTTACCCACCAGATCCTCCTCACTACTAAATCGGTCCCCAACGCTCCAGCTGTCTAGGATCCTGATATAGGGAAAGAGAAACTGAGCGCCTGAAAATGTAGACAGTAGTCAATTATTAAAAAAACAAAGGTAAAATGCATTCACATTTCATGAGTAAGATAATGCTCATATGTACAATGGGTAGCAAGAGCCATCCGGATGGCAAGCACAGCACAGTGGCACGATGGATGCGCAGGCAGTATGGAGCAGGGAAGCTGATAGCCACTTCTGGCCAGGAAAGCAGAGTGGAGCGTAGGCGTGGACGTAGCGGCGTCGTGATGTCATGTTTTAATAGGGAACAAGGCCTGTAGGAGGTAATATTCAGTAATATATACAGTGAAGGACTGTGTTGTATAACAGTAGCTCATGTGTTGAAGTAGTTGTGACATATTTAAGATGAGGGATGCATCATGGAGATCATTCAGTTCAGCTGTTACATAGTTTGGAAGGTGTTCTATAATGGTAGCTAAAAGATCATCCAGTGTAATTTAGGGTGTGGTTGCCATCATCCCTATTTCCATAATAGAGAGAATTGTATCATTTTTGTGGGATTTTTAAGGCAACCTTGGAATATAAACAAAACAATCAATTATTTAAAATATTGACATTTTATCTGACACATTAATACATATCGACTAAACACGTTTTCACCAAAAAAAAAAAAATTACTGATCAACCAAAAAAAAAAATAAAAAACATTCTGGCCTGGACTTTTGCAGCTGTTTTTAGACTAATTTCAGGGTTCTGATTCCAAATCTGATCTCAGATTTACTCTACATTTCATTTTTATGCTATCGGCATTCCCCATTTTCATTAATTTTACCTGAAATTAACTCTCACTTATGATTGCAAGTTGTTGTGAGTCAGTGACTGCTTTAGTGTTAAACTATGGTGCTGTATTTTTAGGATAGTGTTTATAATATTTTATGTAGATATCCACATTTATTTAATATTTTCCTTCTGCAGGGCGTGATCTAACAATGGCTACAACATCCCAAAGAAGGAAATGCAGTAATGACCCAGATATCTTCTGCTACATCTGTGGCAGCTTCACTGTGCAGGATCAAAGGCGCAACATCAATACCTTTTGTCAAGGTTTATCTTGCCTACTTTAAAGTACGACGTGGAGACCAAGACAAAAAAAGTGGGCTCCTCACAAACTGTGTAAAACCTGTGTTGAAACTTTGTGATCATGGTTTAAAGGAAAGAATGCTAAGCTGAAGTTTGGTGTGCCAATGGTTTAGAGAAAACCTACAAACCATTTGGATAACTGTTACTTCTTCCTTGTCAATGTA